TTGAGATCAAGTAATTTCTATGGAGTCTTTGCACAATGAGATGTCAACAATTTTATATTTATGGTGCATTTTGTTCTTACTTCAGTTTACTGCGGTCACTGGGACCACACAGATTATCACGATTATACAGGGTGTTCTAATTATTATATAGTTAGAAAAAATTAGAAAATAATCAACATTTATGATGCATTTAATATACAGGGTGACTGGTGAATTACTATCGATACTTGAGGACGTGATATTTGACGATCATATATGACAAAATAAAAATTAATATAACATAAATATTAATAAACTTCTGAGTAAAGTTAACCAAAAGTTATGTAATTAATTAATATTGCTGTTAATGATTTTGTTTATATATTTTTTGTATCATCGTAACATTTAGGAACACCCTGTATAATCCATTGACATCTTCACTACACAGATACGGCAATCAAGAATAGTATGAAAAAAACGTCGAACCAAATATGATATAGTCACGGTTGTAAAGTATTCCAGTTAAAGGTACATTAAATTATATTTAACAAAAGATTTATATGATTTTTATAAAGAAATTAAATATCTGTATTAGTGTGAGGTTATGAATGAAAATGTTTTTTTTTTTGGTGTCATTCAAGTTTGTTTGATTTTAACATTGTCAATACTAGTTTGCGGCCACGGCTTCGCTCTTGTTTAATTGTATACATGTATATTTGTCTTCTTCCTGGCAATTTCCCAGATTTAGCCAGGGTCTGCCAGGTTTGTATAATATTTTTAACATATATGGACTTTAGTCCTTTTTTGATATTTGTATTAAGTGTTACTTATTAGTTCAGAGAAAGAATTAAGGAGGTTTTTTTTTGATTTCAAAATGTAAATGTTCCTCTATTTATAGTCAGCTACATATATCCTGTCCTCAAAGTATTTTATAACCAAACAAAAGTCCCATTAAAATCTGCTCGGCTTTTTCAAAGATTATAGCAACCAAACAAAAAAAATCAAAAATATTTTCTAGGAATTTTGATCCTACGAATTTAACTTTGAGATAACTAAAGACTCTATTATATACGTCTTCATATTTTAGCTATTTTCAACGGTAACAGCATAATTTTGGTACAATTACAATATTTGTCAAATTTGTACACTGTACGGATTTTGTTCAGAGGATGTGTAGCAAAACTTTTGCACTTATAAAAATACACTAAATGAATAGAACTAATATTATCGGAATACTACGCGTTTGTTTATTATTTTTGAATGATTTTGAATAGATTCTCATCTCGTCTTACCATGATTCCGATGCTGCAAAATAACCGAAGCGTCGTATATAGGTATATTGTTAAAGGCAATGAAATACGCGTAATAATCTGAAAATATTAGTTTCATTTAAATGAATACTCCCAAAAGTCTTAAATCTCATTAGATTTCAATTTTCCATAATCTATATGTTCGAAGACACAATGAATCAACTGGTAATGTAAAAAAAACAGTTGTTTACAAAAATTTTAAATAACTCTTAATGTTGCAAGCCTATTACTGCATTGGTGTAGTTGCCTATTAAAAAAATTACTAATACATCATTTAAAACTTAATATAAAACTTATAATTTCGCATAATATTCTGTAAATGTTCATGTTTACTTAAAGCTATTTTTATGCATATTTGCATACGTATATACAGATATTACGTTTCACATAATCCGAACTAATAATTACGTGGAATGCAAAAACCCAAACAGACCTGATATCAAGGTTAAAAGTACTTGTAATGGGTAAATTTTGTATCGTTAATGTAAGATGAAACATTAAGAATCGACGAATAAAAGCATTACCCCATTTATGGGTAGGTAATATAACAAGTATAACATACATTTCCTTAATATACGCTACAAAAATTACCCTACGTTACACGATTTTGGTACCTACGTAAGTGTTAGCTAGAATGAATAGCTAGATTAAATGTTTAATAATTTTTTTTTTTAATTAATGATAAAATTAAACTTAGTTAATGTGAAAAAATCTGGTTGATTTAACTATTTTTTTTAAAAATATGTTTAAGCATTTAAATTTTTAGTAGAATTTGGCATATTCTAATGAAAGAAAAATGAGACGTGATGAATGGAAATTTTGTATGTATTTTTAATAAACTATAAGTATTCATAAGAAAACATGACATTTCAAAGCGGGTACTCAATTTTTTTTTTTCATTTGTAACGCAGTGTTATCTTTTCTCTAAGTAAATAAAAAATAATTTTATTTATTAAACTTTAAAAATATATTTAGTAAATGAAACTAATATATTCGGATTACTTCGCGTAAACATTAGTTACATTAGTAACATTTAAATGAATACTCGCTAAAGTTTTAGCTCACATTATATGTATATTTAGTAGGTAACTCACAAATTCTAAGTATAACAGTTTGGAGCGAAAATATATAGATATAACACAAAAGTACTTCAACGATTTTATTAAAGTTGCTTTCAATTTAAAAAGATATATATAAAAATAATATTTAACTGTATCTGGTCTCAATCGATCGATCATTTGGAGTTTTTCGTTTTGAGTCCAAGATTTACTTCTCATTACAAAGGCGTGTTCAGAAAACGTTGAAGACGAGACATATAAGGAAGTGTCACGAGTGACGTGTGATGTATCGATAGATTTAAACTTAAAGAAAAAGATAAAAAAAATACTATACTAGCTTTCCGCCCGCAGCTTCGCCCGCGTGGAGTTCGGTTATATCGCGTTTCCAAGAGAACCTTTCAAAAGTCTGGGATAAAAACTATCCTATGTTCTTTCTCAAGGTCAAGTCTGTGTCTGTATCAAATTTTATTAAAATCAGTTCAGTGGTTTAGGCGTGAAAGCGTAACAGACAGACAGACAGAGTTACTTTCGCATTTATAATATTAGTAGGAATCTTCTTTAAAATTATCCAGAATATTTTAATTGTTATACCGTAATACAAGTAAAAGTTATGAAGGATTTTTTTATTTAACTTAACTTTAATAGTTTTATTTTATTTTACCTGTAGTATATAATGCTTACTGAATCAAACCGGTACATTTATGATTTGACTTCTAAATACCTATATTTATAATTTCAAAAAATAGTTACCTTAATAACTCTACGGATTATTAATATATGTGTAGGTTACATACTATTTTCAATATAGAATTATAATTTATAGATAAATTATTATTAGGTAATTGAGACCGACATAATTTAGTAAAATTTCTCAAAAGAATATTTTTTTATTCGTTTTAAAGTATTATAAAAAATATATTTTTTATCTACATTCATACTAAGATTTTATTTTTAAAAGATACAATTTTTTTTCTAGTCTGTTCCAATATCAATATAATCTACACCAATCCGTCAAATGTTACCAAAAATTTGACAGATCGAGCGAAATCCACATTCGTTAAAAGAATTTTTATCAAAAAAACATGAAAAGGCTCGCAATCAAGAGCATTGTAACAAAATAAATATAATGTTATTATTGATTTGATAGATACAATCAATTTTGTGGATGAATCGATCTGTATGAACTAGGAAATGTTGTGGACAGAATATATGATTTAGCTTTTTAAATTGACCACAGATTATAATAGAAAGAATTTTTTTGCATATTATTGTAACAGATTAAATAATACATGAATTATAAGGAAATATTCCTCAATTGTTGAAGAGTTGAATAGTAGATTTTTTTATAACATAATATAAATTGTATCTTAGCTTAAAAAAATAGTTTAAGCGAAAATATTGAAGTTCTTTTAATAATAATTTGATTAAGTTCTACATAATAGTGTAAATCCTTTTTTTACTTAGTTATTTAATATAACGATTACAAAGCACAAAGTTTTTAGTACTTTTTTTATATTTGAATGACGTTTTTTTTTGGAATAGTAAAATTAAAATCAGTGGTGGCCTAGTGGTTAAAGGGACCGCCTCTCGTTGCCGAGGGCGCGGGTGCGATCTTGGCAAGTACCAATGTGATTTTTCCGAGTCATATGTACTTTCTAAGAGTATTTAGACACAACTGCATACGGTGAAGGAAAACATATCGAGGAAACCAGGACTTATAATTTCACAATTATATGTTTGAAATCACCAACCCGTCTTGAGCAAACGTTGTGATTAATGCTCAAACCTTCTCCATGTGAAAAAGAGGCCTTTGCTCAGCAGTGGGCTCTGATAGGTTGAAAAAAAAATGATTCCAAAAGTATTTATGTATTATTATTTTTTTGTGCAAATGAGTCTTCATATGTATTATGTAATTCCCGATATGGGAAGAGCCGCTGAAATTATGAATTAATTTAATTATATCATTGTATTTCTGTTACGAAAGTTTTAACTACATTAAAATATACGCCAAAAAATCTTAAGATTCGAAATCACAGAATAAAAAATTAAAGACTTATTTAGCTAATACTAACTAACAACCTAACTAACTTAAATTGAACTTCAAGAATTTACTTCCAACTTTCAAGTCCATAGCAACAGACTTTTTTTATCTATGTATTCATTGTGGCTGTATATAACAAAACCGTTTTCTGAACCGCAACAATAAAAAAAAAACATTAAAACAAACACACTAACAGCTGCAAGGGCGGCCAGTGAAGCGAGGCGCTCTGCCCCCGAGCCCGCCTCCCGAGCACGCACAAAAGTCAACATAAATAACACCGCACACCCCTATCTCAAAGAAATGACACCGCATTTGGACCAAAACGACCTATAACACACAAAAAACAATCAAAAATCAATCCTATATCTATATTAATAGAGTTGGTTATGCTTAAATCATTCGCACGATGATAGTACAAAAAAAATTGTAGCATTTCAAGTGTGCAACAATTGAAAAATATTGCATCTCTTTCGTCAGATCAATGGCATCGGTTGTCCCTACTTCTGGTCGGTTTTATTAAATTTATTGTTAAAGCAATGTATATAAATTTGTTGCAATGGGAAAGGGTCCCAGTCTGTTGGACGATTGCGTGTGAGATCTACTGGTTTAGAGATGTTTAAAAAGAACTATTCGAGGCTGTTCAGACCTTGGGATGTGAGTGATAAGGATGAAACAAAAACGAGTGAACAGACAGAGTTACGGGATGAAGTTAAGATGAAGAAAGATTTGAAACGGGAGAACAGGCTGAGGAAAATACGGGGAGTGTTTAAAAGAAATGATGTTAACCAAGATGCTACAGTTTCCACGACGACAGCTGATGATGAAGAGAAAACTAAAGTAGAAGACATTCCCAATAAACCAGCAGATTTATCAGACTCTCCTGTAGCCAGCTTAAGCTTATGCTGCGATAGATTACTCCAAGAACCTGAAAAACTATTAAAATCAGACAAAACCAGAGATATACCAAAAACACCAGATGTATACCCTCAAAATTTATTCCCTCAAAGTATGGTGGCATCAAATATATATAATCAAGGCTACATAACTGATTATGTAGCGTCAGACATCGCACAAACACTCGGAGTTCCACCAACTGATCCACTACTTTTAGAATCACTAGCACAAGGATACGCCATGGAATTAGAATACGCAAGAATACTCCAACAAGAAAACGAAGCGAAATTACTGAATGCACGAAAACAGAGACCAAAGAAATACAAATGCCCGCACTGCCAAGTCGGTTTTTCCAACAATGGCCAACTGAAAGGCCACATACGGATACACACAGGAGAAAGGCCTTACAAATGTGACGAGAAAAACTGCGGGAAAAGCTTTACTAGGAATGAAGAATTGACGCGTCATAAGAGAATACATTCAGGAGTACGTCCATACCCGTGTCCAACTTGTGGGAAAAAATTTGGACGACGAGATCACTTGAAGAAACACACAAGAACTCATTATTTGCAAGCTGAGAGGATGATGCCTGTATTCGTCCCGCTCACGGCCGTACAACAAATAGGCTTCCCATACTTATATGGGTATTGAAAACCAAGTAAAAGCTATATATATATTTTTTGCGTGTAAATATATGTAAGTAGAATAGTATAGTATTTTTTATACAAATGGAAATAAAGTATTTTATGTGAATATATATTTCGTTTCTTTACAACCAACCTTTGTTACTGTTTAGCATCTACGAGTTGATTAAAATACAAACATACATATATAGTTCTACATATATGTATATGTGTTTTTTCATACATTATATTAAATTTAAATAGATTCCGATCTTTAAGAACGAAAGTAACACTAAAATACATATATTTCTTGCCAGTAACCAATATACTTTATGGAAACGTAATATTTATTTTTATCCATATCTATTAAAATGTAGATAATTATGATTTGTCTTTTGGAGGTAAAATTATAAATTAAGAAGAAAAATCCAGTTTGGCACTGAAATGTTAAACATTACCTAATACTTTATATTTTCTTCAGTTAAAATCTTTTTGTTTGTTTCAATTAGTTTTTTAGTACATTTTTAAATAACTATAAATCTAATTATTGCTTACTATTATTTGGGTATATTTAATCAGTTTTCGTTAAAACAAAGAGTTTGCTAAATAAGTTTGTATAACTTTCAAAACATCTACATACATAACAAGAATACAAGACAATACTCTCACGCCCTTAAATTTTATATTTTAGAAACATTCTTTTTTATATCCAAAAATATTTACTCTTTACAAAATCTTAGAAAAGACTCTTTTGTCTAAGTAGACGTCTATTGTCTCATATTTGGATAATATGACCTCAGTAAAAAGAAATAAATAAATAAGTTCGATACTAATTGACCCTTATGTGCCCCTAACGCTATCTAACTCCGTCAAAGCATGTTTCTCTTTGTCAAATCTATTATAATATTAACAAAATTAAAACGTCTAGAACTTTCTTAACCAATCAAGTATAAACATCTCTTTTAAATACATACATTACATACTTAGACAGTTGGCAACGAAATTAAACTTTGACAAAATTATAATTAGTCAACCGATAACCAAGTCAATGGTGGCCTAGTGGTTAAAAGACCCACCTCTCATGCATGAGGGCGCGGGTTCGATCCTGGCAAGTACCAATGTGATTTTTCCGAGTCATACATACTTTCTAAGTATTTGGATACCACTGACTGATGAAGGAAAACATCGTGAGGAAACCTGCACTAATAATTTCCAATTATAAGTTTGAAATCACCAACACGTCTTGAGCAAGCGTGGTGATTAATGCTCAAACCTTCTCCATGTGAGAAGAGGCCTTTGCTCAGCAGTGGGCTCTGATAGGCTGATGACAACTGATAATCATGAAACAGTTCATACATACAACCTCTCCACGACCATCTTGCTCACAAACTTGAAATTCAATTTCACTATTTTATGTATTCATTTGTACATTACTTAATCTTCGTCAGTGTTCGTTATAAATTTAAATTAAAATAAAACTAAGTAAAACATTATTACAAACAAATACACTTAACAAATTGTCGTGAAAATATACGCGACATATTCTATTATCAACATTTACCTATGCATATATGTAAATCTTTAGTTTTACAGGAAAATTCGTAAAAATAACTTTACTTGGAGATTTAACAATGACATATATACTTCAAAGATCGTATGCTGATGGATGCTTGAACAAAAAGTCACCTAGCTCAAAATTAATCTATATGTATAATATATAGGTATATAAGATTTAACTTTTAAATTATAATTATATTATATCAGAATCTATTTAAACTTATATTAAGTTTATCCAAACGGTACATGTTGTTGTTAACACGACATCCACACTTGGCATGCCAACAATACGTCTACGCGTTTTCGCTTATTTGTGTAGGTATGTGTCTTATTTGTGCAAATATGTCAAATGAAGACGACTAAACCTTCCACACATGGTCTTAATTGGCCGAACACAACAAATAAAGTCAAGTGGATTGCCACCTTTAAACGTGAAATACTTGATTCTGAATTTTAAAATTGTACAGTAATCTAAGGCTTTTATAGAAAGTATATAAAAAAACATCCTGAGTAACATAAGTCATAAAGTACCTTCTTTTATTTATTTGTTTCATAAAAAAAAATTACTTAAATAACTCTTCAAAACCAAGAATGTTTTTTCGCGTCGTAAAAGTTTCAAAAAAAATTATATATGAAACGGATTTTTTGTAGATTATTTTACTATGTATCTAAATATATAATGAACATATTATGTTTTTATTGTCAAATATCAGAGCATTTACTATTTCATTCATAATTCGTCGACACAATCATGAGCTGAGGTTTAGGACTGAAAACTTGATGACGCTCCATATGTAGTTTAGTTACGCTAATTTATATAATAGTTAAAACTAAATAGAAAATTCCATTCTTGTCAATCACAAAACTTAAATTATAGAATTAAATAGGTCAATTCGTCTGTCCGTGATCACGGTGGCTACGAAGTAACAGAAACGTCGGGAATATGTAGCTAGTTATAAAAATAATAAAAAAGATGATAGTAACCCGAAAAATATTAATTTCATTTAAGTTAATAGTCGTGAAAGTCTTAGATCTAATAGAATATGATTGAAACACGGAAAACTAAAACCTAGTTTTTATAATTTCACAATTATAAGATTGCTATGACCAACCAGTCTTGAGCAAACGTGGTTATTAATGCTCAAACCTTCTCCATGTGAGAAGAGGCAGCTCAGCAGTGAGCTCTGATAGGCTGATGACGATGACGGAAAACTATACTTTTAATTTGACAATGAAATATAAAATAAAGATATACCATATATCGCAACCTATTTGTCTATAATTTAAATATTATAAAATTACCATAATACATGTTTTTTTATGCTATGGCTTCATTCGCACTGGAATCATAGAATATTCTGCCAATGTGATTTTTTATTTGTTGGGTGAATTATAATATTGAGTACTGTGTTAAGTTTTAATAATATCATTACTAAAATTTATTATACGATTACGTACATTTTTAAATTAATATCTTATATTATTAGCCTGAGTTCACATGGTCGATTGGTCACACTACAAACAAACCGTTTTCTGTTTTCCATTCATAATCTTTAACTAAATCTTCGAACATAAACTAACGTAGGTTATTGAATGATATTTTTTTATATTCTGTGGTAATGATAATTCGTTCTAAGGATACAATTTTTTTATTTACATTAAAACCTCTTTCTAGGTAACCCAAAAGACTTGACATCTAATTATGGTGTTCGGAATAAAAATGGAGAGATTTCAATTTCATATAAGTCTCTTTTATAAGAATTCACATAAAAACTTCACTAGGATTTCTATAAAACGTAAAGGCGTATAATACTAATACAGATACCTATTGAATCGAACTATTAATTTTACAACAATATGTATACAAACATCGATAAATCACTCTCATTCATAGAATAAATATTACGTAATACAAGAGTACGGACTTCCGGCCATCTTGAATAACACAATTAGGAACAGATAAATATTTTGACTTTCATTGTACTGACACTTGCGGGCATAAAAGATTTTTAAGAAATATAAAAGTTATTAGCTATTCTATGTGACATTTGATTGAAAAAAATATAAAAATAATAAATACAACTAGTTTTTTTTTATTATATTTAATTTTTGAATTATTTTAATATAAATTAATAAATTTGGTAATCGTTATTATTGAAGCATCTGACATTGGCTGAATGACATACAACATGTGACTGTAATTAATTTAATTATATTAAAAAAATACCTGAATCAGTTGTCTATTTCGTACTATCATAATATGAAGCAATAAAAATAAACAAGATTTTCCCACGTCCATTACACAATAATATTCGGAAGTTCACAGCATGGCGCCGTATTTGCGACAATTTAGCTTTTAATTTGACTTCCAACTTCAGAACGTGTTGTCACTGACGTCTTTATAAATAATTTGTAAATGGCGGCAATATTTATTGTGGAATAATTGTAGAAATATATTTGACTAAAGGAAATATATTATAATCTACTTTCGTTATGTTGGGAGAATAAAATAAATGCTTATTACGTAATTTGAAATAGGTTTGATCTAATAAATATATTTATATCATTTATAAAGTTGACGAATAAACAAGTTTTTGAAATGACTTACGGACTATACCTACCTATTTTTCTTGTATGCAAAGATATCTTTTGTTCAAAACATATATTCTTATATGTTTAAGTTGTGTTTCGTATACAGGGTGACTGGTGAATTACTATCAATATTTAAGGAGAATACTCGGTACATGATTCTCATTCGAATTATGTAATTTTTATTTTGTCACATATGATCGTCAAATATCACGTCCTCAAGTATCGATAGTAATTCACCAGTCACCCTGTATATGTTTAGCAAAAAAATATCAATTTTTTTTATCTTTTACATTAATCAAAAAGCTTACTAATTTTATGTCCAACTAAAGTATGTCGTAAAAAAACTTTGTGTCCCTGGGAAAGGTATCATAACCCGTGAATTCCCAACCCGCCTACAAATTCAACAAATAAGTTGAATAGATAATTTATAGTGTTTATCAAATTTATTAGTTTGTTTTATTAGAAAAAATGTTTCGACTCCAAGCAGGTGATTGAAGTTTTTGTGAATGTAAATGACCGAACGCTAACATTTATTGTTTGTGGGCTGAAACATCGTTCATTCATTCAATCGTTTTTTTGTAGCAACTGATTTTTTGACGTAAAATATAAAAAAGTAGAATTTTGTGTTTTTTTATTCGATTTATTTATTTGGTTTTTTGAGGAATATTGAAATGAATTGGCAATAGAAGGTTTAATATTTGTATATAATAAAAGTTTATTATTTTTTTCTCTTGAACTTTATAAGCTAGTATAATTTCTGAACTGCCATTAGGATAATTCTTTCACTTACACTTTTATAATTTCTCCTTATATAGCCTTACAACTTCTTTATAATTGATATGTAAATATATATATCGGCGCTACCAGCTTTAATAACGGATGCGACATGAAAATAATTTGAGGCTGTCATCAATTCTTATTAAACCTCATTAGTATTCATGATTATTGTTAAAAGTAAAACGAAATCAAAGGTTGTTTAAAAGGGGAATAGAACTATGTTTAAATCTTGTATAAATATGACGTCTGGACACACGACGGCAGAGTTTAGAGTTCAGTGAGTGCGGACCATTGAAGTATGTGATTATGAAGAACCTTCGAGAAATACAGGAACATTAAGAACAATTGAAGTTTCATTATAAAATATCATGGAACGTATTAAAAGAAGTGACATTAGTGACGTCAGCGAGGCTGGCGTCCCTCTCTTTAAAAACAACGAATGTGTAATAAATCCGATATATATTTGTTATTTAAAAGCACTTTGTAAATTATAAAATTATTACAAATATATATACAAATTCATTCCTATCATTATTAAAGTTTTCATATTGTTCTCATTTAATAAATAATTTAACAAATCTTTTAACATTATTCTCAATGAACTCTAATACTTTAATAAATTCTACATATTTATTATAAGTCTTGGGAACTAAAGTCAGGTGTCACGCCTACACACTTTTTACTACCTGGCCACTACTCTTATAGTAGGGTGACTGTTATTTTGTATTTTCTCGTAATATAAACGTTTTATGTTATACATGTTCAAAATTTTCAAAACTGTTTCAGCAAATTGTTTTAAACTTACGAAATTATATATTATAATATATGTTTTTCTTAATAAATAAATCTTAAGAACTTTATTACTCATAATTTTTTTGATACACTGAGAAAATATATATAAAATCAGGTTAAATAATGATAGTAAAATTGTATTATAGTTGAATGTATCATGGTCACCCTACAGTCCTAAGTATTGGGTACACAATACAAATAGCATTACTTACAGTGGTCATTACAATACTCATTCAAGTAGCGATTTACAATATTATTCTCACGTAAAGGATTTTTTTGGAATACACAGGACAGGTCGAGCCTTGCGTCATACGGATTTGTATTTTTTACTCAAAAAATGATCGATTTGCCACGTTTTTTTTTCAAAATTTTACTCAACCGTACTGACTTTTGCCACTCGCGTCTTGAATAGGTACGTGTATTTATTTCTCCCACGCATTTTTTTCGTTTGTAAATGCTTTTAAGTAATGCTTCAACTATACTATAACTTGCAAAAAGGTAAGTGTATATTTTTTTATCTACGAATACGCAATGAAATGACAAGTTTAAGACCCAAATAATGTTTCTTCCGAAGTTAATTTTCACTTAATAATATATGAAACAAAGTAATTATGAAAACATATTTTATTCCACTTCAGTAAATGTATGAAAAATGTTTAGGAATTTTTGGCTTTAGATAACAAAATAACGAGACAAACTGACAGATAATTTTATCTCTACAAAGTAACCGAAATGTAGGGAGAATGAAGTTTAAAATAATACAAAACTATAAAAAAACAATATGCACCTATTGCTTTAGTCAATGAAAATCAATAAAAAGTGCGCCTTCAGATACTAAATTTAAATAAGTTAATGAAAAAATTTTTAAAAATACAGGGTGACTGGTGAATACTATAAATATTTAAACCATAACTTCAGATACTCATTCGAATTATGTAAAAAAAATAGGTACTTAATTTTTGACCAAATTAAGTTTATTAATATTTATGTAATATTAATTTTTATTTTGTCATATATGATCGTCAAATATCACGTCCTCAAGTATCGATAGTAATTCACCAGTCACCCTGTATAAGTCAAATGTATTAATTACTGTCTTTTCCATAACAATAAAGCGTGCATTCGGTTCACAATCGTGAGTTTTGTAACCCAAGATGCCACCCATAGCGTTATTTGTCATACTAATGACTTCACCTTTACAAGCCACAGATTGATACGTAACTTGTATTTTCTCACACCATTTATAACTAGGAATACCACAATAATAAGTGACGTTGCTTTAAAGTTTACTTATCCCTATTAATATTATAAATGCGAAAGTAACTCTGTCTGTCTATTTGTTACGCTTTCACGACTAAACCACTGAACTTTGAAACTGATTTTAATTAAATTTGGTACAGAGATGGAATTGACCTTGAGAAAGAACATAGGATAGTTTTTATCCCAGACTTTTGAAAGGTTCTCTTGGAAACGCGATATAACCGAAATCCACGCGGGTTAACTGCGGGCGGAAAGCTACTCGTAGTTATAAATATACCTAAATGTATTATTCAATTATGACTGGGAATTAAAGAATAAAAAAGAATTGAAAAAATATAAATGGGAAATTTTAGCGTTATATGTAATGTTTTATTGTCTATTTTGCTCTAGAAAAAAACTGTATAAAGAAAAAATATTTATGAAATATTATACGCGCGTGAATTACTATCAATATTTAAGGAGCATACTCGGTTTGATTCTCTATGATTATGTACCAAAAATAGACTTAATTTTAGACGATTGTCTAAAATAATAAAGTGTGTACAGATGAAGTATTCCAAACGCGTGCGGCGGCAACATAAAACACTAAACAGTGTGTTGATACCTAATCTGTATTTCACAAAAACATAAAACTACTAAAGTTTAAATTTTAATTATATTTCACATCCATTTTGTCATATATGATCGTCAAATATCACGTCCTCAAATATCGATAGTAATTCACCAGTCACCCTGTAGATAATACAAAAACACAAAACAAATAGTTGTTTGATAAGCATACACAAAAAAAACTTCTAAATTAATTTTAATTATAATTATAAACTAGGTACTTAAATTGACATTGACAAATTATTACGAATCAAGTACAAATGAAGCTATAGTATTAAAAAAAACTACGTAATTAGTATAGTAGTATATATTGGTAGTGTAGTATTTTCATATCGTTGACTATCAAAGTATCAACAGTCAAAGCCTCTTAAATAAGCTCAAAGAACAGATAACATTAAATAGTTACCAGCTAAACGTCATCATATTTTTTCAAACCAAGATTTCAAAGCCTTTATACTCTTTTCAAGTGAGAGTTAATAATAATATTTTATTGTGATAATCAAAATCGCGAAACCAAAATTATGACCGCAAGCGTTCGACGCTATAAATCAATTGGTACAATCGTTCCACACTATTGTGGTTTGGGACCCTTGCACAATATACGCAGTGTAGGGTCTCCAAATATATTGGGGTCCCTACAATATGATGTATATAATTGTATTATTTAGATACTATGCCGCTTGTATATGGTTATTTTAATTAGAATCTTTCACACTTAAATATCAAATAATTGTAAAATTAGTACACATATTAAGGCTTGGTTACATTGGTGTATAGTGCGTTTGATTTAAGCTGAGCTTTGCATTTGTGTGAGTGCACACGGATAGTGTAGGTGTGATGTCAAATTTTTGAATGCTACGTTATTTTCTAGTTTTAAACCGGTTTATTCTGCTTTTACTCCGCCCCGCACCTTCCTCACTTCATCTTTTGTAATGATAGCAATGTCAAATGTTGAAAACGCAATGTCAAGTGAAGAATTTGTAGTTTTTTTTTATTAATTTTTTTTCCATAACAATTCCTTCTGGCTTTTTACAAGTCTTATTTATTTTATTTTAAATCTAGTATAGCTCTACACTTATGTATATATAAAATAAAAAAAATTTAATTCTAAAAGTTTTTCGTCTAAATCTACATTTACTTTCACTCACACAAATGCAAAGCTCAGCTTAAGTCTAATAGACTAACTATACTAAGCGTACGAATGAAATAAAAACCAAATTAATTATTCATATAATTATTATGAGATCAGAATTCGTCTCTGACTTTAATATATTTAACGTAATCCTCCAACAAAATCCTAAAATCTGTTATATTTCTAAACGATTCTTTTCTGTTTGAAATTATATTCGCCAAATCTTCGAAAACTTTGATAGCTTGAGCCTTTCCCCTGTATATATTGAGACAAAACGGTTTTATATTCTTGACGAGTTCAAAAATTGTTAAAGAGAATGGCTGATCATCATTCAATGGTGAGAAGACTTCAATTATATTCAGAAGACCGTAGCAGACGGTCGGAGTAGACATTCTTTCGATGAGACCGATCATTTCATAGAGTCGTATTTTCTCAAAATCTTCTTTAGTTTTTTGGGCTCTGTTACTTCTATAATGCACATGTTCTGATAATATCTTATTGAATAGACCCAGCAATATTTCTACGACGGAATTGTCCAATTTGGACACTTGATGATAAAAAGGTTCCAAACCCTTCAACCTCATCACCCTGGCTTGTAGTTTAGGATTCTCCGGCAACCACATATCCATAATATCTACTGCATGCGCTTTTAATGATAGATTATCATCATTTTCGAAAATATCCAACAATTTATCCACAACACTCGCCGGCATTAGTGCTTTAGTTGTCGTTGGAGTTACTTTAAATAATGTTTTGATCAGTAACAGAAATTGTTTCTTCAGAGGATCGTAATTAATACCAATTATCGGAGTAATTATTCGATCAACGCCTTTTGTGTTTAAGAATCTGTAAGTGTTTTGTGGATTTTTTACGATTTCTATAAGATCTGCAAAAGTGTCTACCATTTCATTGTACAATTCTTCTGAATGCTCCTCAGGCAGAATCCTCTCTCTTCGCGATTTTTCAGCTGAAGCAGCTATCATCTCTATTTTTTCTATAGCTCTACCAACGTCAGATGCAATAGTATCTTGAATCTGGTAGCGCAGTTTTTTCATTGTCAACTTTATCTTGACCCTTCGTTGCTACAATTATAAAATATATTAAACAATTACTATAGAAATTGTATATAAGATTAATAATATTTAGCTCACCGTCTATATTTTCATTACCAGTGGTACAACCCACAAATAATAAATAGATCAATAGGAGAATCATTCTAGATGTTATACTTAGTCGATATTTTACAATGACACACGCTTAAGACAATGAAAACAGTTTTATATTAACAGAATACTCAAATATTCGGCCAGTAATTTAATATAGGTAATTACCTAGTTTAATTAATGTTAAAGAAAATACTAAATTATATATTACATATGAAAATATAGAAAGAAATTGTTTTTTATTAATTTTATGAATTAAAAAAATTAGTTTTATATATTTAGTGTAACATTATAATCTTCTAAATTCTTTTTTTCTAGATTAATGACAGCCATATTTGTAAATATAAAATTTTTGGACGTATTTTTATAGTTTTGTTGTCCAAGTCCCTTCATTATTGAACATGTTTGCATCTAATTGAATTTGTGTTTTGGATCTTACAAAGTTTCTAATTGTGACTTCAGTCGAAATTGTTAAATTTTATTTCATTTCAAAGTTAGTCTCCATTTTACACGACACTCGCAGAATATACTGCACGTCTTTGCACGGATGAAAGCCATATTTTAAACAACAAACCATTATTGAAAATGGATGTCCTAAATTCATTTCTGTGTACAGATAATTCATACTGCTGTCTTTCGCCTCGTGGTACTTCGATCCTTATATCTGTTGTAAGCCTTGTAAGTTAACTACAAATATATATTTTTTTAACGTTATTACTTAAAATAATTTCAATTTTCTCTACAATTAAACCAATATTTAAAGTATGCCATGAACAAAACAATTGTATGAAGATTAGCAACGTATAGTTATGAAGTCTATTTAGTTCTTTGGAATAATGTATTGATAAACATAATTTTGGGTTTATTATGAAATATATATATATATAATTTATCTTCAGACTGGTTGTCTAATCGACGTGTTGTCTAGTGACGTTAGTCTAGACTATTGCTGTGACGGCTGGCAACACGTTCAGTCTCTGCGGAATGTGCTGCAAACGTTATTCCAGATGGCCAATATGCTGCTACTTCTGGGCTCAATAGTTGTATGTTTAAACAAATATATTTATTATCTTGTATTTAAGTATTGACGTATTGGTATTATTTTAGTCACGCAATTTAAACCAATTTTTACATACTTCGTAATTTCTGTAATGAAACTAATATTTGTCAGATATAAAACCGTGATCACGGTTGCTGAAAAGTAGCCGAAATGTCGGGACTGTGTAGTTTTTACAGAAATAAAAAACGCGTAGTAGGTATATCCGAAAAATATTAGTCTCATTTAAATGAATACGCGCGAAAGTCATAGATCTCATACTTCTATACCAAAGATAAAAATGTATTTTCATAACTTCATGTCAAAAAAGTATAAATTATTTATATTAATTAACAATATTTTTCAGGAGAGTGCGTTACTTCTCAAAATATATTTGTGGTACATGTTAAGTTTCGTGATCGTCGGGCTAGTAGTCGCCATCTTGGATCTTTGTTTTCGACTTAAAAGTGAAGGCGTCTGGAGTTTTATAACTTTCGTAACAGAGGTCACATTTCTTTTCGGTAAGGACTAATAATTACCTTTATTATTATATTTATAACACGTAAAATACATATATATCATTTATCTGTTCGTCTTGATTAATTGTTATTTGATTTAAATAATAATATAACAATTCCATTTCAGTTATATTTCAGTGTCTCCCTCTGGTGGACAGCTACAAGAAAGGATTGGAGGGAGTTTAGTTACTCATTGTAGTAGTGTGTAATCAAACAAAATTCTATCAAAAACCGCCACTTATATTGATATTTGGGATCAGTAAAAGATATTAATTATTTTATATTTTTACACCATTTATATTCAAAGCTTTTCATAACTGGGCATTATATTAAAAGGTATTTTAAAGAAAGTAGTGTCATCTATTGTCAATAATTGTAGTGATTTAATAAGTTGTCCGTCTGTAAATTTGTTGCCATCTAGTGGCGAGTTTCGAAAAAATAATATTGTATAAACCAATAAAAGTATCAAAGCTTTAATTAACATAATTAATAATAAATTCTAATATTCATTCGGTAGTACCTTTATAATTAAAGAACCGTCTTAAGTTTTAATTTTTAAAATCGTTTTTTCATTGTTTAGTACTTATGTACCTTAAAAAGAATGTTATAGTTTCAATATTTCGCAAACGTAAAAATACAAGACTCCTATATTGTATAAACAAAGAACAATAAAAAGTATCAAACAGCTTTTATTGCGGACTTAACATAATTAATAATAAATTCTAATATTCATTCGATAGTACCTTTATAATTTATATATTTACACAGTGCGAAAAAATTAATGAAAAAAAAAAAAATATAATTATATTTTAACTTTTAAGTGATTCGCAGGTAGTGTAAGTCTATATTATAGACTTATACTACGACTACTACTACTTATTACTACACTATAGACTCTATAAAAACAACTTTTTGGATGACTCCAAATGATGACACTTTTTGGATCACATATTTAAATCAATAGCTCCATAGCCAGTCTAGCATCACTTAAAATATAAGACCATATTTATTAAAACTGGTGACTGCAAGTAATTCATACACAGAGATGGTCTCTGCAACCGAATGTCTTATTGAGACAAGGGTTTTGGTTGGCTAGCACATACACGAGGTGGTTTTTAAAAAAAATTAGATAAATCCACTAATTTCCAAAGTAAGGGGACATCCATTTCCAAAAAAACAGCTCGATACCCAAACACTGAGGTCGCTTCATTCAACTAGCATCTAGAGCTATTTTTTCGATCCAAGCGAAAAAAATTAAAAGATCCATCTTTCACTATGTAATAATGACTTATCCGATCAAATTAAATTTTAAGATACTTTTTCATGGTATAAGTAGGTCCCAAGTAAAATTCGAACTATCTCTAAACATTCGAGTTTCACAATATATAACACAATCTAAAAGGGTGAATCAATAAAAATTCGTCATTGTTTTTAAAGTAGTCGTTTTCGGTTTAATATTTTTGTACTATCTACTATATACATGTGAATATTAAATATCTATAGAAAAAACGTATAACAAACGTAACGCTAACGTATTTACTAACAACTCCTCTCGCCTCCAGTCTCCGCGCGACAACACAAGTCCTCAGAAGCCGGTCAAATAAAAATATTTACAAATTCATCTTAATATATAAAAAGTAATATCTCCGTACTCACGGAGAACTGAATTAAATGAAAAAAAAATCCATAGACAATATATAATGTAGAAATTATCGTGAATCTATTATAAAGTTACAAAATATTTTCTCTATCACGCAATTTCTACATCAGTTGTCTATGGTACATACAAAAGATGTCTATGAGATTTATGTATCATTTCATTTATAACATTATTCTATGAAGGCCGTGTGTATTACAAATTATTGGTCACTTACATTGTGAAAAACATCTCTCCATACTCATACAATTATATTTCCATTCAAATCCATCATGCTTAGTATGAAACAGAAATGTTAGTCATATTATAAATCAAAGCATTTGAAACTAAGCACGATCATTCAGTACTTTTACTACAAGTTTCCATCACACTCCATACGTATCGTCAACAGTATTTCATTCATAAATCTCCACACATTATAGTATTAACGTGGATTATTGAGTGAGAGACGGGTGACGCTGCGTAAGTAGTGTGAATAGATAGTTGTGGTCAAGATACAATTAAAAGACTATATCAGATATACATAAAGTCTTAGACTTTAACATCGTCTATCATTCAATCATTAGAAAATATAGAAAAAAATTATACATACTATAGAAATAAAGTAAGAAAAATAATGAGTAAAGCCGTGAAATATATGAAGTGTAGATATTAGTTTAGAAACCAATGATTAAATCGTCTACACAAGGCTTTCAAAGCTAAAAGTGCGTTCCAAAGCAAATATATTTTTTTACCACTCGTCTAATTTAAGACATTATTTTGGCACAGAATCAGAACAAGCCAAAAATCAAACATTTGAGATCAAACAAACCATCTCCGTACAACTAAGATATTACACAAAACAAATACAATGTACATTAAAATGATGGCCAAGAGCTCACAATATATTATATCAAGTATTACACTAGCTTTAAAACACAAGAACAAGTAACAAGAGTCTGCAAGCGGCCTTAGGATATGATATAAAAATTAAATAATAAGAAGCGAATGTTCATTCAAGGATATAAGGCCGCTCGCACACTATAAATCTCACATTTCAACACGATAGAGATACTGCGTTATTTTATACCGTTTCTCATACTTTTCGTTTATTTTATATTAAATTCCTCTAACCTACCACTCTCGCACCAAAATCTCATGTCACGGACATAGTTATTACGTGAACCCAAACGGCGCCGCGGTTAAAAGCTAGTTTTTATATAAAAAAAATATAAATCTCTTGTTTCAATAACACAAATACGGACTGACTCGAGCATTCCCCGCAATGACCGATTTCGATGTATAGCATAATTTGAAAACATAATTTACATAAACAAAACATAGGTGGCGTTGAAAGTACACTTAATTTGTACAAACAAAAAACAACGCTGTAAATAACACAAGTCCGAACACAGTAAAACTCTAGTACAGCTGGTTTATACATACAAAACATAGATGGCGCTGTATATAACAAAAGTGTAAGAAGAAACTCGAGAACAGCTGATTTACACAGACACAAAACAGATGGCGCTGTATATACACTCGGTTTGCCCAGACAAAATAGATGGCGCTGTATGTAAATTCAGTTTGCAGACACAAAACATAGATGGCGCTGCACGTATACTAGCTCTGGTTGGCGATAGAGACGACTGGTTGCTGGTTGTTCGAGGAGATGACCGTAGATCCGGGAGGTATTTTCTGCGGGACCATGCCATCTATATGCCTGTATTTCTTGAGGCGCGTCCATTGTCCGTTGTTGTAGTTCATCTGGAAGTGCATCTCTGATAGCATGGTCAAGTATGTGTCGTCTGTTTGTAGAACGTTCTCGATGTTTTCTGATAGCTTTATCGTGACTATGTTGCCGAGGTTGGGACACGGGTTGTCTGGAAATATAGGAGATTTGTTAACAATGATTTAATAACATGAATGGGAGAACAGTAATAAAAATGTACTAGAAGACCCGGCGAACTTCGTATCGCTCTATAATCAAGAAAATCTGTTACGTTGTTTTATTTATATTTTCGGAGTTTACCACCTATTAAACCCATAAATCTCCGTGTTTTGAAGTGCGACAGAATGATTGGCATATTAGTTAGTTGTCAAATCTAATGTAAAAAAAAATGCTTGAATCAACAACTACTAATAAATTAAAAATTGATCAAAAAACATTGTCCAGAGGACAAAATTGTGAATCTAAACCATTCCCAGATCCCCTTGAACACACACAAAAAATTTCATCAAAATATGCCCAGTTGTTTGAGAGAAGTTCAGTGACATAAACACTCACAGAAGAATTATATATTATATAAAGATGTATGTATATAGTGCATACCTCTGGAGCCGGCCATAAATCCAAGTATGAGCGCCTTCTCCGGCCTGGTGACGCGGTTGGCGTTCCGGAACATATCTTGAGCTTCCATCATTTGTTCACGCTGAAAACATATATACACATACTAGGTGATTATAATGATTTAGCCTAAATGTAGTTGTACTCAGGCAATAACACTCTTATATGTCATTACCTGAAATAATTCTAATCTAATTTTTAAATAAATTTATTATTTTAAGTCTCCATTATACCTTAATTAAATACTTTTAATTGAAAATTTTCTTTTATAGGATTATTCTCAATGCTATTATTTACAACAACATAAATAATAGTAACAAAACATTTCGACGACACATTTGTAATCAAGTCAAGTCGTATAATATTCCGTACCGTAAGCGACAATCCTCTTCTTGGCAGGAGCGGCTGTGATGGGGCCGCGGGGGCTGCAGGGACCGCGGGGGCGGAGGCCGACACGGGGGCGGGGGCCTGGGCCGGGACCGATGGAGGGGAGGATAATTGTACCTGGAAAATGTTATATGTTTATTAATACAAATCTTTAGTTGTACTAATGACTGAATATTCTATTAATGAGTTCTTTTCGGAAGCGTATACGACCATAAAATAGTAATAACGCAATATAACGCATTTCTTAGAGTTAGAGATTATAGAAAATATCATGTTTTTAATATATGTATATCTATTGTATATTTTCTAGTATACCGGATGTGTTATCTGTTGTATAGGTTGCGTTGACTGCTGGACCACTTGCTGCGGCATCTGGTGACAGAATATAACATTAATATATATATAACTACTCACAGATGTAACAGCATTGACAAACTTTATCCTTACTACAGAAAAATAGTCAAATTCTATCTTCATCTCAAAATTATGTTACATACACAAGCTATATTAATTCTAAGCTAAAATCACTAACCGGTTTTATATTCTGTAACAATACAGCCTTTCCCTGTTGTAACAACACTGCTGAGGCTAGGCCAGGTGCCGATAACAACACCGGCTTGCCGCCCAACACTAGCTTGGGTTGACTCAGTAGCAAAGGCTTGGTACTGCCGCCCTGGAAATGAGACACGATATGTTAATAGGAGTATTGAGGGTGAGTGTGGTATATAGTTAGATGGTACCAGTGAGGGTGAGTGTGGTATACAATTAGACGGTACTAGCGAGGTTGAGTTTGTTACCTGGTGCACCAGTAGCGGCGTGGTGTGTGAAGTGGCGGGCGCGGCGGGCGGTGGGGGCGGCGATGGCGCTTCGGGAGGTTCTTCGCTTGAAGGAGGCTCCGCTGAAGGTTCTGTGGAACTCGCTAGGGAAAAAATAATATGATTAATATGGATTATTTTTATTTATCATTAATTGGACAGTATTTGTTGGCAATTACAGCGAATACCTAAAAGTTAGATAGTTTTAAATTATCATAACGGTAGATTTAACAAAAATAAAGTCAATAATAATTTATGAGGTGTTAATTGAAATAAAAAGTGATCTTAATATAATTGAAACAGAATACAACAAGATTAAAGACCCGACTGACTTGACCTTCGAAACTCAAGTAGGTAGATAATATCTCATTTTTCTTATATATTCATAGAGAAAAATGTTAAGCATAAAAATATTAAATGTATACTAACGAGGTGGTGGTTCGTCTGCTTTGGGCATCTGGTAATTGAGTCCTTTGGCGTAATCTGGTGGAGGTGATGATGGAGCGACAGGGGGAGCTTTCTTTGCACCTTCCTCCATTTCTGGAAATATCAGATATTCAAGTAATTTAGTATATATACGCATACTGTACAAAAATAATTCTAACAAAGATCTCACCAATTATTATTAACTAATTGTTAATTTTACTTCTAAAACTGATTTATTATTAGTTTTAATTTAACTCTATTAATATATTTCAATATTTGTAATATAACCATATTCAGAAATACTACCGAAAACTTTAGCAGTGTCGGTAAAACTTTGTAATACAATTTATTACAAATAAAGAAGTTATTTTGCCAATATGATACATAAAAAATGTATAAGGAAAATTGATGCATGTAAAAGACTCCTTTAACATATATATCCTATTAATTCGTCAGTAATACTCATGTACTGCATAAATCTAGTTTTAACCAGTAACACAAGTACTATAAGGGACAAAAGGTTATATTATTTATGTTCGAGGTATACTTTCTGATTTCTTTTTTGCTATTCGGTATTACTTCCAGTTATATCTTACAACAATATCTTACATAATATCACAAGGTAATACTTAAATGTTGCCATTACAAAATTACAATATTTCAGTATTATTATTAATGAAAAATTGTTAACAATTTTCTCAGAATCTCACCCAGTCACCGCAGGAAGATTATAGTATATTATAAATAGTATGTCACAGATGGCGCCACTTATAACATATATATGTACATATATGTCAATACATACCAATCTTCCGTCGCTTCTTATTCTGTAGATGTGTCGGTTGGTCAGCTATGTCCAGGAGTTTAATACCAGAGCGGGGTGGCGGGCGAGGTGTGACGGGAGGGCGGGCTCCGCCACGGGACGACCACCGAGAGGGAAGACCTTTGAGAGGCGCTGGGAAAGATATATATATGGTAATACAACACGATTGTGTATTATATGGAATATGAGTAATAGAAAATATATAGTAATATGTGGGTAGGTGTAAAAATATATTATCTAACGATAGTAAATAGTAAGTGTTGTGCTATTTTTATGAAATACTAGCTTTCCGGACGCAGCTTGGCCCGCGTAGAGTTCGGTTATATCGCGTTTCCAAGAGAACCTTTCAAAAGTCTGGGATAAAAACTATCCTATGTTCTTTCGCAAGGTCAACTCTATATCTGTACCAAATTTCATTAAAATCAGTTCAGTGGTTTAGGCGTGAAAGCGTAACAGACAGACAGACAGACAGAGTTACTTTCGCATTTATAATATTAGTAGGGATATATACAGAAAATGTTAGTAGCAAAACTGCTTATGGGTTGCAGAATTGAATGGCTTAATTATTGTTATTTTATTATCTGCTTATGATAAAAATGTATACAATTAACTAGATTAACATATATCTTCATCAACTTGGCAATTTTCCCAGCTTTAGCCAGGGTCTGCCTATATATACATATATATAATTTGACAATGTATGTGTTGTTAAATGTGTGAATCAAAACTTGTATGACATAGAACATATTCTGATTTAAAACTCACACCATTCAAAACCTATTTACTATATTACTACTTAATGCATAGATATATACCATAATTAGTATCCTTATGAATAAAATTGTGGTTAAATCTGGTTCATAATAATAATCCCACACCATCACAATGATATCTAAGATTTCTGTGGCCATACATTTAAATGACACTAAGTTTTTTTGATACATTTCTTATTATTTTATATCTACATAATGTTAATGTTTCGCTTCCTTTACAGCAACCATGACCACAAAGATGAGAGAAAAGTGTCTAACATTTTAATCAACATCAAGATAATGTTGCTCTTAATAATAATGAGTGGTATCAAAAACCTAAGTTTCATTGCATACTATTTAGAGCCTTTAGACCAATATAGATAGAGCTCTAGAGCTAATTTCAAAACCTATTGTGGGTGTGCAAGTGCAATGATTTACCATGGCTTAGCACAGAGTTATAGTAGGTAGTTGAAGTTTTTGTAAGTAGGAATCTAACACTACATAGAACTTGATAAACCATTTTTTGTTTACTAAGAAAAAAATTTATGCTTCAGTTACATAAAAATATAAAAAGACTAAAATAAAATGTAAAAAGTTACTTAAACTCCAGTCTCAATAGTGCGAATTAAACTCTGAAGCTTTTACCCAGGGCAATATTATTTGATGATTTTTCCCTTATAATAAATAATGAGTATTTACTTGTATCAGTCATTTTCCGAGGCATCCCCCTACTTCTTACAGGCACAGTCGGTGCTTGAGCTTTCTTCTGGTTAGCTTGTACTTCGGCAGCTTTAGCCAATAGTTCACTACGTAATGAAACGGACTTCGGTTTCCTTTTTAATGTAAAGTGCTTAACTGGATTCGGTTGTTGGCCGACCTGGAATACAAATTCATGTTTGAGATACACTACCAGATTTAAATATATATTTATGTATTATAAGAATTACTAATAGGAAATTGTAGTTCAAAAAATTAATTTCAATAATATAAATTACTATATAAGCAACAATATCTAAACTTTATAAATATTAGTTTAGACTTGGAATATATATATAAATATAATTATTACAGTAACTTACCACAGATACTAAGGCATTTTTATTTAAATATAGGCACTCGAGTGGCAGTAATCCTAAATCTGAATGTTTAGCAAGAGCTCGTCTCAGTTCACCGATCATATCACTGAATATGGGTCTCGTTTCATCAAACTCCGCTATCTCAGTGTTAAGTGTGCCTTGAGATGGAAATGTTTTGAGAACCTCGGCAAGCATCGCCACCCACAAATCAGAGTCCACAGCTGCCACTTCAATAATCTCCTCCAATTCATTTCTCCACTAAAATAAACATATATATTATCTTTAATATATAATGTATATTACATTAAGAACACCAAAATTTTTGTTTCCTATAGAAATGAAGTTTTTGATAAATATGATCAAACTTATAACCTATTACTCTAAATTAAACACGCGTCAACATTTCGTGTAAATAATATACAATTGTATGCGATCTCGGATAAGAAATAACAAAGTTTAGCAACAACAAAAAATAATTATTAAAACAATGTAACAATATTATTTAATAATTTCACATACTTTTTAATAAACATCTTTACCTACATGTAATATCTTTAAATATATTTAGGAACACCAATAACACTTACCTAGACGTACACAAACTTGTATTTTGTTTAATAAACTGTTTTAAACCATAACATTCCAATATTTCTATCAATTATTTTATGACAACAAATAATAGCAATACATACTGCGTTAATATACTATGTCTCTTTTCATCTTATAGCAGCCGGGTTAGATATGAGAGAGACATACATGTTACAGTTACGCAAAACCATAGAACATGAGAGAAAAGTTACCTCTTCAACATTTCTGCGCGGGATATGAAAGAAACTTAACAATAATTTTAGTTTCACTTGAGTTTGCAAATCTGGAAAACAATCCTTGATGTTTTTTAAAACTTCGGCGTTTAATTGTGTACAAATTGAGCCAGTTGTCCACGAATCATTCGATGTTCCGAGTTTATTGTGGAGCCACAACGATGTGTCACTATCCCGAACGTTCGCCATCTTGCAACTGAGAAAGTGACGTTTCAGTAATGTGTGTAAGTGGCGTGCGTTTGAAATTAGATTGGTTGTCTCTGGTAGCGAGTTTTATTTTTCTTTTACAAGTAACAAACTAATTTGATATAGTATAATTTAAAATAAAGTAATAAAATTAGCACGCAAATTATTTTAATCTGATTAAAATATTATGTTATTAAATAAATAAAAAAAAAACTTGGAAGTGATCCATAAATTATTCTAAATATATTTTACACAAAAAAATTGACACATAGAAATCTGCTTTTCCTTTTGATTAAAAAAAGCCCTTTACTTTAAAAATATCTATTTTAAATTATATATTTACTTTAAAAATATCTACATAAATTGTTGTCATACATAATATATCGATTTTTATATCTGGTCTAGGTTGTACTAATAAACAAAAATACAAATTCTGAGAATTAAAAGACAAGTAAAAAATATACATATTTGTATCTAATTTTATTTTAAATAATATTTTTTATTTAAATATTTTTTAATTAGCTATACCAAATATGTACAGTATTTTTTAAGCAATGTAATATCCCGATGTCTGGACATATCATATGTAGAATATTATAAGAATAAAGTTTAGATAATACTTACAATGAAGCTGAATTACTAATTTATTATTGAAGATTAAAAATCACTACACACTGGTGCTTTTTTATATTTTATGATCATACATAATATTTTTGCATTTAATATAAGTAGTTTTTTTCTGAAGTTTTTTTATTTATATAATCTACCAATGAAGGGTATCTGTTGTTTTTTACTGCCCGCCATTTTCAAAAACATTTATTGATATAACGAGATCATGTTACTACGGTGTTACTCTTTTTATAAGAATACGCTTGTTTAATATTTTCTATAACAACTTTAATAATGTCCTGGGAGACTTCCGCTCCATATACCTTAAATTTGTACGAGGAAAACTTGGATGATGAAAATGTTATCGATTTATCATCCCGATCATTATCTGAAGTTCCACATCTACAAAACAATTTGGTTTGCGTAAGTTTAAACTTGACATCTTTTATGGGTTATAAAACAGTAATTAATATTATTCGGATTACTACGCATATTTTACGTTTGTTTTTAAAATACGCGTAGTAATCCAAATAATATTGGTTTCATTTAAATGAATCCTCGCGAAAGTCTTATATCTCAGGAGGTAATTAATTATTTTTTTAGGTTCTTTATTTACAAAATAATAAATTGAAATTATTGCCTGAGGATTTATTTCTGCTACTGCCAAATTTGATGTGGCTCGATTTAAGGGATAATGAATTAACAGATATTCCAATAACAATTAAAGGTCATAAGTCACTTACACATTTACTTTTGCAAAATAACAAACTTACATCCTTACCTAACGAACTGGGGACAGTGAAATGTTTAAAAGTACTCCAGTTAAGCGGAAATCCTCTTATGTATCCGCCAAGAGACGTCATTAGCGCGGGAACTGCGAAAATTTTGTCATTCCTATTAGCTATGTATGAGGCTGAAAATGGTTCTGTTTTATCCGATAAAACAAGTGCGAGTGATATTGACAAAATTATTAACCGAGCTCGGAGCTATAACTCTGTATTGGATGAAGAGAAATTACAGAACCACAAAACACTTGCGGTACAATTCAGTGAAAGGGATAATTATGATTCCGATGAGGAATATTACTCCAAAATAAAGGGAAAGTGTCCAAAACTACATAAAAGTAGAACGAAGACATTACCACCTCACTGCCAGAGTGCGAAATATTTGAAACGACCCGTTATATCATTTGAAGAAGTTAACGAGAAAATGAAGCGGAGTTACATTCAAGATATAGCTCTCAAGAAACATAGGGATTTTGTTTTGAAGACGGAAAAAATACTCCAAGGTAAAAAGTAAGTATTTTATCTACATACATTATATAAGTTCTACAATTAATTGTTAAAATATAATTTCCTTCCCATTAGCACTTTAGTAGTGAACGTTTTGAATAAAACAAAGGAGATCGTTCTTTTTGGGCCTTTTCTGAAAGTGCCGGCCAACAAAAAAAACGTGGTACATATTGTTAGAACCAACCATTCGGAGCAATAGTTAATATAGCGCAAAAGTTGTAGGATTCAAGATATAGAAGTTATACAAGTTCTATGATTCATCATTTTCGTACATTTATTTTTCTGATAGTGCCAGGAAACATAAAATAATGATTGATATTGCTCGAGTTAAGCTTCTCAAGCAAATCATTATAGCGAGAAAGCCATAATCTGTTCTCTTGTACATGTTAGAAACCTGTCATTTTTATGAAATACTAGCTGCGCCCCGCGGTGTTACCCGCGGATTTCTGGGATTTCCGAGATTTCAGGGATGTAAAGTAGCCTATGTGTTATTCCTGGACGTCAGCTTTCTGTATACAAAATTTTATCAAAATCGGTTCAGCGTGAAGAAGTAATAAACATACACACACACTCACAAACTTTCGCAATTATAATATTAGTAGGACTAGCGAACCCGACAGACGTTGTTCTGCCCAGTATCTGAACGCAGCCAACACAATTTGTTGTCGATTTTATTATTTGTCTAAACTAATATGTATTACCTAACTATTGCTCCAAATGGTTAGTTCTAAGAATATGTACCGTTTTTTTTTGTTGGCAGTCACTTTCAGAAAAGGCTCAAAAATGTATGAAAGCTGAATAGTCTCCTTTCAAGACCTTAATGTAATTTTGATATAATTCAATAAATATAAATTTCGACCCAATAACTTGATTATAATCACATGAAGTTTAAAATTACCTCTTAAAGTATTTTAATTAAAATATTATATTTTATAATTTAGGAACATTGAATTACTAAGAAACTGGCGTAGATCCTACCGCAATAAACAGTCCAACATATCTTTGGATAACGATTCATATAAGCTCACAGCCAAGAAATTTCCATATGACACCGATCCTGAATATATGACCTTCTTGAACCGTGAAGACATAGAAAAAGATTTGCCTAACAAATATAAGAAGAGATTGTATAGAAAGGCTAAACCGACTGTGCCAAGAAAGAGAAGTAATGATGTTCATCTGGCCATGAAGATTAAGCAGCTATTTGAAAACTTAGAAGCTATTGATTTGAATAGAGAGAGCATGTCACCTAGAACGGAACAGAAAATATTATTGGGAGAAATACAGAAGGTAATAAAGACTTATATTGGAATGAAAATATTAATTAATTTGACTTAAAATGATACTAATAGTTTTGAATTACTACAGACAAGATCTGTCTGAAATTTAGGAATTATAGTTTAAAAAAAAAATTTAATATGCATAGTAATCCCAAAATAATACTTTTATTTGTATGAATACTGATGAAGTCTTGGATCTCACTAAGTTTGACTTATTAATATGATTTTTTTATTTCCAGATATCAGAAATAAAACAGAAATTGATGGAACTATCCACAACTAACACTCCATCGGTGACCGTAGAATAAATTTTATAAAACTATTATAATAAATAATTTTATTAATATACTTTTTATAGGATTACATTAAAAAAACAACATCCAGTTTGTAATTTTTATTGTATGATTAATATATATATAACAGAAAAAAATGACTAAATTATATTTGTATAATAAAAGTAAAAAATCTTTATATGATTGTGTTGTATTAATGTTTGTTTAAAATGGTTCCAATTCTCTTGTATTATTTAGAAAACTATTTGTTTAGTTTGGATAAGATATTATATTTATAAATATTTATTTTAGAATAATACTATGTAGACAAAAGAATTAGCACCATTTTCATATGTTTTTAAATACATTTGTTACTGTGAATTTTAAGTTCACTTCAATCAAGACTTAGACATACATATATTGTCAAAAAATTTTAATTAACTCATAGAAAATATGTTAAAATCAAAATATAAATGTGCTTTGAATGATACAAAATTTTTAATTTCAATAAAACTCCTCCCTTAATTATTGCTAGTCATAAATACTGTTAATTCTTACTTCTAACGCTATATTCATTCATACGACATGGAATGCTAAAGCTACAAGCAACATCTTAATTAGCTGAAGGTTTTCTATAAAACAAACAAGGAAAAATATATATTCATAGGCCACTTAACATATTTCAGAATAATTTCTTTATAATAGAAATTTTTCATTGTATGCATATTTCAATAGAAATTGGATGTATATAAAAAGTAAGTTTAAATTATGTGCTTGTATTATTTAAGCGAGCTTTTATAGATCTAATGTTGAGATAAAACAATATTTTTCATATATAATAAATTATAATCCAATATTTTCTTTACTGTATGCCGACGTTGTATTGGGAAGTTACAAGTAATACAAGGGGAAGAAACATTTATTTACATATCTAGTAAGTCAAGCTTATACTCATTTGGCGAGTCAGTGAGCTAAGTAAGTTAGTTATCTAGATAGTTTATATCTATAGTTATAGTAGATACATAGTTTATATCTAGGTCCAATCCACGGCTAGCTTCCTTTCCTAAAACATTCCTATAGTATTCAGTCTTTACATTCTTGACTAGCCTCAGAAATCAGCCAATATTTAAACCATCAATAACATTCATTGAATTATTTCTTAGTAATTTTTTGCTAAAATGAAACTATTTGTGAAAAACAGTTTCATGTAGAAGTTACAAATAATGTAAAGACAACTATGTCAGTCAATTTTATCACTATAAAATTGTATAACTACTGCAAATGCCATATATAATACCTAAGCTTACATTTCACTCTTACATAAGTACAAAGTGAAATCTAATGTGTTTTGCATTTAAGATAATTATTATTACTATTTCAGAACTACCCTATTTTTTACAAGCTTTTGTTGAGTGCAAACTTCTTTTAAGTTTCATTTAACTTATTAATTATAATTCCACCTTCAAATCCTTTGTTAATTCAGACATTGATTTCTTAATTAGTTACTTGTAGCCAAATTACATAACTGAGTCTTCAACTATAGTTATATGTTTTAAGTTGACACTTCACTTGGCGTTTATTTGTTGTGTTTGGCCAAATAAGACCATGCGTAGAGGATTTATTCATCTTCATTTGACATATTTGCACAAATAAGACACATACACAAATAAGCGAAAATGAGTAAAGACGCGTTGCATTCCAAGTGTGGATGTTGTGTTTGCGCTATTTGGACAAATGCGGCGAATACGCAACGTCAAGTAAAGTGCCACCTTTATACAGGGTGTTAATACGACTTCATTATACACTGCTCTGTAAATCTAAATCAATGATAAATTATGTTTTTGAATAATTTGTGTACAAAAATTTTAATTTTTAAACAAGATATACTTGCCTGGACTCAGTTATATGACCTATAGCTACTAACATTTATACAATTTTGAAAACCAAATGAGACAGTTCACTTACAATTCTTAATTTCTAAAGTAATTTATACAGACAAGATCTTATTAGACAATACTGTTATAAGTATATATCTATTATCTAGGATTTAATTATGGAAGGAAGAAATCTTACATTTAGATATATATAAATATACATATTACTTGTATATTTATACAATAAACAATTATGAAAAATTAGTTTTTGGAAACACAATACAATGTGTCCTATTAGTTTTTTTTTTGAATTATGCAAATTAGATAAAATTTTAATTAAATATATATTGTTTATACTTGTAAATTAAAGATGAATAATAATGTTAAGGTACAAATACATTTTATCTATTGATTAACACAAAAAGATAGCCACACTTTGAATGTATTATATATACATATATGTTTTTATATAAAAAAGCACCAATTTATCAAAGTAAATGGTTTTCTTTAGTAGAGGACAAGAAAAGAATTGCTATAATAGAACATAAACTTGAGTAAGAGATATTAACAAATATTGTCATAATGCAAATTATATTATATATATGAAGTTGGATTAATTGGTTTTGTATATATTTAATTTATTAAGATTATAAATATCTCAGGTTGACTATATTCATATACCTACTATTATAGAAACAGTTCATCAAACAAAAAATGATTTAAAATGTTTCTAACAACTTGTTTTCTTTTTTTACACTGATTATTTTTTCATTAAGTATGCATTAACACCAACTTATACCTAATAACATATTCTCATTACAGTTATTGTAGCAATTTTTTAATTCAAACACATTTTCTTCACGATGTTTTTCTTATTTCAAATCAGCTATTTTTTAACACATTTTTTTCTTGAATCACTATTTCACTTTTACGTAACCATTATAAGCACGATCTCACATATATTATAACTTTTTTTTTTGTATTAAACCACATTTTCACATTATCGTTTCTTCTTGGCCCACATTTTCATGGTCCTACGTTTTTTGTGATCTCATTCGTTCTGCTAGAACAGTCTCGCCATGAATACGTGAGTTTCGTTACGTGAATGCTCCGTGAAGCCGAACTTGCTGTAGAACTGAAGGAGATGCTGGTCGTTGATCGCCACACACGTGTGGACGCCGTTAACACCTGTGTTTATACAATCATTGTTATATTAATATGTATAAGAAGTGGTGATTATGTACTGTTTTTATGTATTGCGTGATATAACTATGGAATATATAAATACACACTAAGAAAGTTTGGCAGTTGATAGGTGGAACGCCTGAATTTGATGTTTGTATTTGTGGGTGTACTGTATATGTGTGACACGATAGCATTACGGTAATTTATATGAGATTGTATGTGTGTGTGAGAATACTTGTGTTAATACTGAATTACTGAATACTTATGAATACTTGGTGTAAATGTTTGGGATAGCAAAATTATCTGTATATTATTAATTATTTATTTTTTCATTTGGCAATCCAACAGTGTTACAGTATGTTATAAAATTTTACAATATACCTAATGCAAAAATTATGACCAAAATAGGATTACACTATTATAACATTAATTTGAAAAGCAGTCTCAACGTGAAATACTTTATACAATACAAAATACTAATTATTTTATACGAGATAAACAAACAACAATTTAAGGTAGGTATAAATACTGTTCATAAACATATTTTTGTGAATTTGTTTGTGTATTTTGTGTGTGTGTGTGTTTAGCCGTTTTTGAGTAAGTTAGCCTAATATTTTTCTTTTTATTGCTTTTTTAAACGGTCTTTTATAATTTTGTATTTGATATATCAACACTATAATATATGTATATGTATACACTGACCGTGAGCCCGTAGCGCGGCCAGTAGACACGTGAGTAGCCGCGAGGTAGCCAGCGGGTCAGAGCGTGGCAGAGCAGCCATCGATATCAGCGAAGGGTGGGAAGAATATACACCGGAAGAAGAAGTGATGATGGACTCCGCCGAATACGAGTGGAAGTAACGGATACAGTCCTGGAAATATATATGTATATAGAATTAAAACCTACATCTTAAGGTTTAAAGAAGTTTATTTCCAAAAAGAACAAAGTTTGCTTACAAAGGAAATTTTAAAAATTATAACTACAATTAAGATAGCAAATAATAAACAGTAGTGATATAAAACAAGATCAGTGAAATCATCTAATATATGGGTTCTTAATCGTTTTTTAAATATATTTAGAGATTTTGAATTGACAACACTTAGAGGCAAAGAGTTATACTTGTTGTAATTGTATAAAAACAATACTTAATATATACCACTAACGCCCCCTAGTTTAATCATGTTAACTATTATAATTTTTGCTGGTAAGTCTATAACAAGCAAGTCTTCGCCAAGTACTTACGTCGTTTCATTACTTGTTAGTGTTAAGCACATATAATTTGTGATAAATTTGTACTTCAATAGGTTTGGCAGTAAATGGTTGTGAACCACTGCTAAAGATATATAATCCATATCATTTATATTATAACAAAAACAATTTATAATATATCAGCTAATTGATAGACGAATACAATTATAATAGTTTGGTAATGTAATCTTTCATTTATTTTGATCTTTAATATGTAGAGATTCTAAGTTTATGTTCTCTATGAGTGACTTATAATTAACTTTCTAATTTATTTTACCTTGGCAGCATCACTCAAGTCGTCTTTGTCGAGTAGTTCCTTGGGATACTTGAGACACATTTCCGGTATCCAGGCTATTTCCTGTTTCCTGTAGAAGTCCACGCTGTTGAGGGCCGCGCACACGTAACCGACTATTTCCGGTTTGGCGTCTAGAATAATGTGTGGATATAAATACATATATTACAATGAGCAATTAGTGACATTAATATATTACTGCCAATAAAATAATTAAATACTGCCGCAGTTTTGTAAGGTCAACTAGTTTTCTTTTCAACTGTCATAGCTTAAGACTGAATGAATAGCCTAAAGTTATATTTTGAAAATACCTCAATACTAAATATCTGGAGAATATAGTAATAATAGTCAGAGTATTCCAAGGATACATTCCGAAAAGTTGGTGAAAGGTAAACGGACTACGCTTGGTGGTGAAAAAACATGCTTGTATTTTGGAGGCGTTAAATTATTATTTATATTATGTATTTAACAAAATATGTTTTAGTCCGAAAGCAGATTGAGTTGCTTGAATTTGTATTTACTTAATATAGTCATTATGTATTGGTGTTCTTCAGAATCTCATATTTACACACACACACACACAAGCGTGTTTACCGTTGTTATTGATGCCGGGCTTGTCATCATCATCATTGATGACGTCACCATCATCTTCTATCACCATACATAACTCGGGAGACAGCGTCAAGTATGGAGCTATCAATCTGAAAACAATTATACCAAAAATATTAATAACCTGACACAGATAAAAATAATATAATAGATTAGTCAGTGGCGGCCTAGTGGTTAGGCCCGCCTCTCATGTATAAGGGCCCGGGTTCGATCCTGGCAATTACCAATGTGATTTTTCCGAGTCATATGTGCTTTCTAAGAATATTTAGACATCACTGATTAATGCATTCCCAAAAGAGGGTTGATGTCAGGCAGGCGGCCGGTCGTAAAACAAATAGCCAATACTATTCACAACATGTAAGTCAGACCCTGGCTATAGCTGGGAAATTGCCAGGTAGAAGAAGATTATGGAATGTTTATGATAGTTTTAATATTATTTAATATATATTTTCTATATTCTAATAGGAATGATATTATTTATAGTATATTATGTTCTATTTTCCTACCTGTCTACGGGAAGCGACATTAATTCCCCAGGGAATAGGTGACTGCAGTCCAAGCCGTCCCGGCAGGTTTTCTGACATAGATTACACACCTGAAAACAAACATAATATATCACATTATTAAATTCAGTAATAAAGTATATTCTTTCTCTCTCTTTTTGTATATATATCTGTCTTTCTCTTAATTAGTGTCATTTCCTTATACATGTCGCCAATGTCATGTGTCAATATTATATTGAACTAAATAAATATGGATTTTTGAAAGAATAAGGTCGCGACTAGAGATTAAGAATTTTAACAGAGTATTCATATCAAATTTATTATACTTAAGTAGAGATTGTGTGTTTTGTTATACAGGGTGACTGGTGAATTACTATCAATATTTAAGGAGCATACTCGGTACATGATTCTCATTCGAATTATGTAAAAAAAATAGGTACTTAATTTTTGACCAAATTTCCGTATAAATAAATAAAGTGTGTACACGTTCCAAGTGTTCCTAGTGTGGACGCGTGCGGCGGCGTGCTGATACAACAACACGCCGCCGCGCGCGTATGTGTGAGTGTGTAGTGTAGAGTAATCTGTAGGGTGTTCATACGATGCGTAATTAATTACACAACTTTTGGTTAATTTTACTTAGAAGTTTATTAATATTTATGTTATATTAATTTTTATTTCGTCATATATGATCGTCAAATATCACGTCCTCAAATATCGATAGTAATTCACCAGTCACCCTGTATATAAAACAAACCATTAAGTTTCCATTTCTATGTATGGCATTCTAACAAGGAACATATGTATGAAAGTAATTTTATATATTTTTTTAATAGAACATTATATTTATTTACGGGAAAACATACACCATTATTACAAAAAATTACTTCGATACGATCAAAATAATTTGCCAGAACAATGTCTACAGTTATTTTCACATAATACTATATAATATATAATATGAAGTCTATATATACATATAACTTACCGCGTCTTCGTCTGCGAGTGTGTACGGTCTCACAGTGAGTGGTAGACTGTTTGGTATACATTGAGGTCTGAGTGCGTCCCCGCTACACTCAACGGGTAGTAGGCGACGTAAGTCCGCTGTCAAACCTCCACGGAACACCCACGGCTCTTGGGTTCCGCTTTCGAAGGCTTCTCTCCAGCCCTTGGAGAACCCTAATTATATGTAGAATAAGAATAATTAGTATATCACATTCAATGGAGTATTATCATACAAAAATTGGTTAATTTTTTGACATCTTGGATTTGGAGGTTTCAATCCCTACTAATATTATAAACGCGAAAGTAACTCTGTCTGTCTGTCTGTTACGCTACCACTGAACTGATTTTAATGAAATTTGGTACAGACATAGAGTTGACTTTGAGAAAGAACATAGGATAGTTTTTATTCAGACTTTTGAAATGTTCTCTTGGAAATGCGATATAACCGAACTCCACGCTTGCGAAGCTGCGGGCGGAAAGCTAGTGTATATATATAAATGTGTTTAAAATTTGCATTAATTTTTCCATTTGTTTAAACTTACATGAGTATGAACCTTGAATGTTGGTTGTGATGTTCGGCGGGAATTTACCCATTTCTGAAAATAAAATGTATTTATAAGTATGATTTAATGGCTAATCAAATATATTCTGTTTTTTTTTTCTTTTAATAATTTAGGTCAAGGGAGTTGAAGAGATATTTTCTTTTATAACCTTGTGTTCGACGTACAGTTTCAGACTTGATTTTCGATATTCAGCATTACTTGCTGTTATATACAAAATGGCTGAAGCCGGTATTTATAGTTAACAGGTTAATACTTATATGTTGCCATAACAAAATTACAAAGGTTCAGTATTATAATTATCATCAATTATAAAAATGATCCCAAGGATTATATATTATAATTAATACGTCATAGATGGCGCCACTAACACCATAGCACTCAAAAAAACAATTAATATATATCCTTTACACTTAAGTTAGTATACAATTTTGTATTTCTCACCCAGCCATCTTAGAAAGGCTTGTAGTAGAGCGAGCACAGCGCACAAATCCCACAAGTAGGGATGTAGCTCAGCGTGTAGCTCCCGATTTGCGCACAGAGACAGGCGGCGGGATAAACGACGCGCACGGCACGACCACCACGTGAAGCGACGTAAACGACGACGCCACTCACTTGGCTGACATACATACATATATATTATACAGGGTGACTGGTGAATTACTATCGATATTTGAGGACGTGATATTTGACGATCATATATGACAAAATAAAAATTAATATAACATAAATATTAATAAACTTCTAAGTAAAGTTAACCAAAAGTTATTTAATTAATTACGCATCGTATGAACACCCTACAGATTTGGTATACACACACACTCACACAGACGCGGCGGCGGCGTAGTGTTGTATCAGCACGCCGCCGCACGCGTTCACACTTGGAACACTTGGAACGTGTACACACTTTATTTATTTATACGGAAATTTGGTCAAAAATTAAGTACCTATTTTTTTTACATAATTCGAATGAGAATCATGTACAGAGTATGCTCCTTAAATATTGATAGTAATTCACCAGTCGCCCTGTATATAGCTACACAGATTATATATAGAATATGAATCAGAGATAAATGTAACAGATAATTCCCAAAGAGGGTTGATGTCAGGCAGGCGGCCGGTCGTAAAAACAATTAGCCAAAAATATTCACATGTGAAGCAGACCCTGGGTAAAGCTGCTAAATTGCCAGGTAGAAGAAGAAGATAAATGTAACAGATAATATATATTATAATGATCTAAGATTTTCGCGAGTACTCATTTAAATGAAACTAATATTTTAGGATTTACTACGCTTTTATTTTTGACTATACACTACATACTGCCGATTCGGCTACTTTACAGCAACCGTGATCACAAAGACGAGATGTGAGAAATAAAAAAAAAGCGTAGTAAATCCGAAAATATTAGTTTCATTTATACTATACTAGTTCTTGAATGTGCCTTAACTAATATACACTATAGAATTTAAGTTAAAGTTAAATGTATAATGTGCTACATTGATATATAATAACCTACAGCGGATATGTATATAACCTACTTCCGGTTTATTTCCTCTTGCCAAACAGCTTGTGGCGTGTGTGGTCAGCCAGTGGTAGTCGTGCAACAATCTGAGACCACGACCACCGTGACTGAACGGAAGGTAGAATAACTCACAGAGCAATAACAGGTCGTCTTGGGATAGTCGAGAATCACTGCTGTGGAAAAGACATATACTATAGATAATGAATTTTTAGATACTAAAAAATACTAGTAAAATATTCTCTAATATATTTTTATATAGAAATATAACATTTTTTTGAAGTTAAACTTCTTATGCAACTTCCAACTAGGTTGCGTTAGACGTTTAACACTGCGTTGGATAGGAAGAGATAGACAGTATCAAAATAGAGACTTTATAAATGTAATAAAGTACATATATATTATATATCTTATATTTGTTATAAATATATGTTATAAGTATCAAGTAACTCACTCATCAATGGGTTCAGTTTGTTCAACAATCATGTCACCGCTCAACGGACTGCTGCTAGGCTCGACTTGCATGGAGCCATTCTGGAATTATATTATATAGATGTTGAAGCATTGTAAAAATTAAACAAATTATGATATAACTTTTAAAACAAGAATTTAATATCATGGAATATGTGCAATATATAATCAAGAGTGTATTAACTCTACTAATATTTTTAATACAAAAGTAGCTCCCTTCTTACGTCTAAACCACTAAATCTAATTTGATAAGCTAACTTTTATCTTTATCCCGATCCCGAATTGCAGTTCGGGTTCAGTGGCCGTAGTGGCAGAGAACAATTCTGATATCCATACGGACGAAGTCGCGGGCAAAGGCTAATATATATGAGACCCTAATGTATTCTATTGTTAATGCTACTATGTGATACATATTAAAAAATATCGACATCGTTTTATGGATGAAATATATAACGAGTGACGCCGCTGTCTCCGCGGAACGAACACCAAGCCATGTGAACCAGAAGATTCCTGATGCACACAAGCTATGGAATGGTATTGCTATCATAACGTCGGGCAATCATGTAGTCTTAGGTTTAGGTTATAAGTTTTCATGTAATTCTTATTATAATATACATATCTAAGTTTCGTAGTTTTCATTGAACCTCCGGTTGCCATTCTATGTATATAATTTATATCTACGTTTACCTCACTGAGCTGATCGTTCATAATAACATCGGAGTCAGCGGCTGTGGAGGGAGGGTCTACATCCAGGGGCTCCACACCCTCGGGCGCGCGGCTCGGACTCAACGTCTGGGGGGTGTCTGGGGGTAAATAACATTAGGCTCACTACACACTACTTGTATAGAATGGTTAGGCTGAGTACAGACATGAGAATCATTAAGTTTAAAAGTAATAAATTAGTTAAATGACATTTACAGATTATACATGATGTTATTATTGAATCATTTCAATAATAACATCACGTATAATCTGTAATAATATATAATTAGGCTCATAATTAAGGATACAATTTGTATGTATAAGATATAAGTATTTTTATAGTATGAGAGCCAAAAACCGTGTACAATGTTAGCTTCTTATTTAAATATATATGTATCTTACCTCCAACACTCATATCGCCGTTCCGTTGTTGTTCAGACTGCTCCAAATCATCAACTATGATAGTATCGTCATCTTCTTTATCCTTCTTCATATCATCTATGAAGCTCTGCGTCAGTAGGCTATCATTCGATTCGTTGATATCGATTTTATCCATTTCAGAATCGATTTTATCACCATCGATGGCCTTGATACCCATTATGGGTACTGGTAGCGTGGAAACTGGGAGCTCAGGGGGGTAAAGCGATGGAACTTGCCATGGGTATAATGGGGTTAGGTATCGATTCATTGAGGATCACCTTAGTCGGTGATACTAATGAATTCATTACAGGGTTCGGAACTGGATTGAATGGCTCTATTGATGTCACCTGGAAGTTATTAAAATTTCATATAAAAACATATATAAGTACATATAATATATAGTACAACATGTTCTATGGAAGAAACATATAGTGGGACCAAGGCAGGAAAAAGAAGATATATTATATGTTTAATATCTGCACTATTAGCACCAATGATGGATGCAACATATCTGTCAGCAATTATAATGAAAACTTATTCATGTAATTATTATTATTATAAGACGAAATCAAAATATGTTTGAATTTCAGTACTTACAGCGGTGGCGAGTGCTGGTCGGTCAGCTAACGCCTGTAGTTGACTGGTAGTGACAGTAGGTATAGGCAGATCCGGGGCGCGCGAACTAGTCGTGGTTGTAGCAGTGAGCGACATACATGTGTTCACTGATGGTAGGATCGGTAGGATGGGTACCGGTGGAGCTGGGAACAATATATTAGATAATATTAATAATTCTCCTACTAATATTATAATTGCGAAAGTTTGTGAGTGTGTATGTTTGTTACTTCTTCACGGTCAAACGGCTGAACCGATTTTGATAAAATTTTGTATACAGGAAGCTGACGTCCAGGAAAAACATATAGGCTACTTTACATCCCGGAAATCACGGAAATTCGCGGGTAACACCGCGGGGCGCAGCTAGTAGTATAAAAAACTATATTAAATTAGTATGACATGTGCTAACTGCTAAGTAACAAGACTGAATGACAGAACATATTATATTAAGGTCAGTATATAATGAGAGAATATTAATAAATTTAGTATTCAATAAAATTATATTTTTTTAATGTATGTATTTTGATAAGTAGCAACACTGAATGACAGGATTTATAATAAAGAGCTCTTCCTACATTATACTTGACATGTTATTTAACAACACCGAGCAAGTACAACAGCCAATACACACCAAAATTAGTTGATATTCTGAACCTTCAACGACATATTTTCAAATAGACATAATATTAATAATAATTAAATATCCATAAAATAATTGTACTATGTGTAATTTCTACATTGACACTCATAGCTAACAGTTTTTGATTCACATCTATATCATAGTATTAATATATAATATTATATGTTATAATTATATAATGTAATATATTTAAAATTCAATAATCTTACCTGTGACCTGGGGTTGAGGTTTAATGACTGGGCCTTGAGCAGTTTTGGGTATAGAGAACTCTGGGAGCCATTCATTGATGGCTTGTCTGAAATTAATGTTATTAATTAAATTGGTATGTATTATAAATATATATCATTTAAAACTGAGAATTTTCTTATAATTTTGTATCTTCTGTAACTTAATATTAGTAGAAGAAGCTATGCTATGTATGTACAAAAATTTTAATGTAAGTTTAAATCTGATTTTTACTACTAAAGTTATTTAATGATATAAACTTTAACTAAGACAAATCACAGACAATATATCTCACCTCAATGCTTGCCTATGGTGGTACACATGTTTACCGAGAGTGAGAGGCACTTCATCTTCACATATACCTTGCTCACTCTCACGTTCCAGCTTAATATCCCAGGACACAGCTTCCACTGTAAAATAATTTATAAATCAGAGATTGCCAAACTTTTATTGTCACATAAAATTTATCTGGTTGTTTAATGCACCACTCATATATCTATTTCCTAAAATTCCACTATTACAACTTTGAGAATCACTATTTTATAATCTATATTATACTTAAATTAGTATGCAAATTATATATTACACATTAATACTGTATTGGAATCCAAACCTGTTGTATCTAGTAATTTTCCATTTTGTTTATTTCAATAAAATCAAGTTTGAAATAGAATTATCTATATACCAGAATACAGTATGGAATATTTAAATGTATTTGTTATTTATTTAAAAATATATGTAATAATTACTTTATGTACTGTAATATTGTATATTTCTTTAATAACTTTACCATTACTTGGACTGTTTTTTATACTGACAATATACATATATAGGACCAATTCACACAGGCCTTCACATTTGTTTATCTATAGTGTGAATGTGTCCTTATAAATAGCTTTTTCTTACAAATTAAAGCCAATATATATATATTACTATGTGCTGGTGCATCGAGACTGCATCTGGCCCAGTGTGCGAGGGTCCATATAGGTATCATGTTGGCATTGTACTCGCAGTTGGGGTTTGATAATACTCCTCGTAGAAGAGGTATTAACTCGGGGGAACGGCCGCAATATGGACCTGGAAAATATAATACATTATAATAATTATGTACATTAGTATATAATATATGTAAGTATTCTTTGAAGTTGTTAAATTTTATGAGTGAGAGAAAGAGAGAGCCTAATCTCATTTTTATATATGTATGAGAATCTATCATGTGAATTTGTTATGTAATAATTAACTTAATTATGAAATTGAATATTAAGTTACCATAGATTGATAATATTTTTGTCATGTATAAGGGATTATTTGTGTTAATTAAAATAACTGATATACATACTGAGGCTATAAAATATGCGAAATTTAAATTCCTCTTTATCATTTCAATTGTTATACAAACATCTTAATATATAAAAATTAATGTTACTTGCAAAAAAGCCTTATATATTTTAAACACATTAACACCTAAATATTATATATTATACAATGACTTTCTTATTTAATGTCATTGTATAAATATTTTTTTCTTTTCATTAATAATGTTATTGTTATATATACCTAAGAATATTCTCTTCTGATCGTAGTCATTAGCATGTAAATTGTCCCATATAACAGGAGGTCTTCGTAGAACTTGTGTTATCTCCCCAATACACTCTGTAGTGAGGGTCTTAGATATCACTTTGGGTCCTGGAAAAAAATATATATGAATATTATTTTTTTACTGCTATATAAAAAATACTTCTAATACGCTTATTAACTTTTTTATTCAATGATATCATAATAATAATACCAATACCAAATTTACTATAAGAGTTAACATAGTATGTAAAGGAAGAATTATATATATTTATATATACACATACATGTATGTACGTGTATGTGTGTGTGTGTCTATATCCAGAAAATAACGTTATACTGAAAAAAATCTCTTGTATTAATTAAAATAACATAAGACCCGTATATATTTTTATTTACATGTGATAAGTTTAATTAACACTACGATGGCAACAACCAGTTAGACAATGGTATGTTAAAAATACAACGGAAAAATTATATCCGGCCAAGGTCATTGACTACGCTTACGACGCTTATGAGGAAATTTAGTAAAGAAATATATAAATATATATAAGAATTAAGAAATATAGATTACTTTAAGGGTTTACAAGTTATAGAGCTTAAAAATCCTCGATATTTGAGCATAAATATATGTATACTATCTTCTTCTTCCTGGCAATTTCCCAGCTTTAGCCAGGGTCTGCCTTACAAGTTGTAAATAGTTTTTGGCTAATTGTTTTAACGACCGGCTGCCTGTCTGACATCGACCCTCTTTAAATATATGTACACTATATTTTTAATATTTACTCAATGAACGTTAATTCTTGTTATTTAGTTAAAAAAAAAGTATTTGGAGTAATGCAATCCTAAAACATCACAGTCTTCTTATACACAAATATATATTTTTTTCTAATACACATGAAATCTACGTATTTTAATTAAGTAATTTTATATAAGAATTATTGAATCATGTTATATTTCGTTGCTCAAACTACATTAAAATACAGAGACTTTGAATCAACTTCTTTTAATAATAGAATCAAAAATGAAAAAAATACTTCATTACCTTTTTATATGTAATACATACATATAATACTTTGATACTTATGTTTTATTTAATTATAATTCATAAATTTTTATACACTACAGTAAATTAGATATGCAAAAGATTAAAATTATGAATTCCTTTAACAAATAATGTAATTTAAATGAAACTAATATTTTTCGGATATACTACGCGACTTTTGTAAAAAATCTACAAACTCCCGCCGTTTCGGCTACTCGTGAGAATCGTAGATCTCATTAGATAATGTTAAGTCTTCATACAAATATCTATTAAAAAATTAACTCCCCTCAAACATGAGTTTTTATATAATGTTTTTTTATATATTCACTAAATTCCATATTAATAGTTCAACTGTTTAAAATTAAAGTTTGAACAGACATACACACTTTATATCTATACATATACAGGGTGACTGGTGAATTACTATCGATACTTGAGGACGTGATATTTGACGATCATATATGACAAAGTAAAAATTAATATAACATAAATATTAATAAACTTCTAAGTAAAGTTAACCAAAAGTTATGTAATTAATTACGCATCGTGTGAAAACCCTACAGATTAGGTATACACACACACACACACACACACACACGCGTTTGGCAACTTGCAACAACGTCCACACTTGCAACACTTGGAAAGTGTCCACATCTTATTTGTTTATACGAAAATTTTGTCAAAAATTAAGTGCCTATTTTTTTTACATAATTCGAATGAGAATCATGTACCGAGTATTCTCCTTAAATATTGATAGTAATTCACCAGTCACCCTGTATATGTATGTATATAAATGTGAAGAACATAAAATAATAACCTCACTGAAAAAAGTTTAAAGGTATGTTAAAGTATTTCTATAAAAATATCATTAAGATTATAGTTTAAATAGCCCAATAGCGCTAATTTTAAAGTCAAAAATCTACAAATATAGATAGAATTTAGAGCATAACCCACAATCCTATCAAATAAAGGTTGATGGGTTCACATTAAGTGTATTATTAACTAGCTTTCCGCCTGCAGCTTCACCGGCGTAGAGTTCGGTTATACCGCGTTTCCAAGAGAACTTTTCCAAAGTCCTGGATAAAAAATGTCCTATGTTCTTTCTCAAGGTCAACTCTATCTCTCTACCAAATTTGATTAAAATCAGTTCAGTGTTTTACGCGTGAAAGCGTAACAGACAGACAGAGTTACTTTCGCATGTATAATATTAGTAGGGATTGTTTTTATTATTATATAGATATATTTAACTCACCCGTCCACATGATATCAATTTCCTGGGATAGTTTAGTGCCTAATGTATTGAGATACTCCGATGTATGAACAGTTGGTACGGCCCTCGTAGAACAGTATTGTGTTGGGCAGAGAAGGAACTTGGGGCTGCCGAGATGTTGGTGGATCTCATTGGTTACAGATACCTGATATATTACAGAATATAAGTTAGTAAATAGCAAAAACAACTAACTTTGTATGTGGAGAACACTTTATTTCGGTAAATAACAACTTTGTTACCTTCTTCAGTTTGTACAGTAATTTATAAATTAATATATACAATTTTTTGAAAGTCTTTTTAAGACTATATTTTAAAAAAATAAGTTATAGCAACATTTGCTAAGGTCAAGGGTTTGAGGAACAGAAACATGTTATAAATCTTTCATTTCTTTTGCTAAGTTAAATTTGTTTTAATCAACAACTGTTGAATCCATTATTCTTTGTATAAACTCAAGAATGTAAAAAAAAAACTGTCACTGTTAGTTACAAAACTCAGTAATTAGGTGTATACTGAGTAATTAAGAATGCACTGAGTAATTAAAATATAACAGTGATAAAGAGTTGGTTCCTAAACAAACCTGAGCATGTGCAAAACTCTGGAATATTTGTTTGTCAGCTTCACTCATTTCCGGTTCAATGTCGTCAAACAGCAGAGCAAAACATGTACACCCAAATTGAGATACCTATAAAGATATTTACAATACTTATAACATTTTTAAATAAAATATATACATTATTGATAAACATAATTCCTTATAATAATAAGTTAAAAACAAAATATTAAAGTATTAATTTTATTTTTTTATGGACTATGGACAAAGGTTTAATAGTTATTATGATAAATTACATTTTTAACATTTATACATAGTGTAGTTTGAATTAATTAATACATTACACAAACTTCTACTTGAATCTTAGTAATAATGACTATAAATGTTAGAATTATAAAGTGGTTTCACTTTGTTTCAAGACTATATCAAATACTTCATAAGTAATATATTTTTAGATTTATATAATATATAGATGATTATAATACAAGTTATATTAGTGTGTATATTGTATATCAGCCAATAACAAAAAAACTTCTATTTCAGTATAACAATTACAAAGAATATGTTTTTATCTTATTATTAACAAAACAAGTACTTATAACCTAACTGACCTAAAGATGATAATTCTTACCTGCTCTAGTTTACGTTTCAATGTAGTTATTTCCTTTTGGCTGCTGTATGTGATATCGAGTCCGGGTGACAAAGCATAGCAGAAAGTAATACCATGGGACTTAGCTTCCGATATTAATGACGTTAGATGTTCGGCTTCTTCCACTGTGTAAAGTTCCCTCCAGTAAGCTCTGTGCTTGTAATCGTCTTTTGGAGCGTAGACATACATGTCTAAGCCCCATTTTTTTAACCTAAAAATTAATATAAAAAAATATTTCACCATATTTTTCGTAGCAAACAAAGTTGTTATTAACAAAAGTTAAGTATTGTCCACGTAAAAAATCTATTTGTTTTTGTTGTTAATAAAAGTAAACAGTTGATGAATAAGCTTATTTTTATTTATTTATATAGAAATCTGATAAGAATATCGATAGTTAAAAATAAACTTACTTTTGAAATAAATCTTTCCTCTGCTCCGTCGTCCAAGGCCGGCCGTAAAAGCCTGTAATGGATATCAGGTCATTCACTTCTAATCACACATAACTAGATACTGTATATAATTATGCACTAAGTCTACAAATGTCTAAGTCTTTCCGAAAATAAACATACCTTCGACGACGCCGCAAATGAAATCCTTGCGCATTGAATTCATTTCATCAGGTGAACTTTCAGACATTTTAATAGATTATTTGTTAGGATAAAGGAAAATGTAAAATAAAAGAATATTTCGTCGAACACTATCCGCACCAAATGCCTAGACAATGTCGGTAAGTGAATGACAAACACGTTCAATGTGATTAATATTACGGTTATTGGTACCGGTTCAGCCGGCGAAGATGTCAATAACTGAAATAAGACTTATACCGCTAAGACCAGTTGATCCTTAGACATTATTAAAATTTAAAACCAAGAAATAGATTGAAATATGATGTGTCAAACTTGAAACATAGAAGAACCATAGAGCCTTATAATATGTTCATATGCAGTAAATACCACAGTCTATATTTTGAAAAAAAAATATTCAACGTCTATGTTCAACATTAAATAAGATTCCTATTAATGTAAAATGAATAACTTGTTAAAATTTAAGTCAATACATTTGTGTAAACTGTAAAAATAAAAAATAAAAACTTTAAAAAATATTAACTTTCATCATGTATGTTCTTTTGATAATTTTTGAATTTATGATATAAGTTTTTTAAATAAATTATGTATTAATTTGTATAATATTATTATTAAAACAGTTTTTAAAACTTATACTTACGTCCTAATAATTAATCCAATTAGTGTAATAAATATTATGAGGTAAAGCCTAAAGTTAATGTCACGCTTGTTGTTCAGCAGGATTAAATATAGCAATACTCTACTGTAAAGAGCAGAACAATAAAAAAAAAGGAGTAAAAGGAGTAGAGCTAATAGAATTTACATACATGAAGATGGGATTCAGACCAGTTGTGTATTCAAATATAATTCTCCTTGATAATTACTTTAATTTTTTTTAATTATTTGTCTTTTAATTATTTTTTAATTATTTTTTTTAATGGAAAAAAAAGCTCCTAGTTAGATACTTCTTGCAAAGTTTTTATGCGTCTTGCCTACAACCATAAGGTTGCACAAATAGAAATTTGCATTAAAAAAGTATAGAAAATATATCTGGATATAATCACAGCTGCTGCTAAAGTGACAAATAAAAAAATGAAATCACTTTAGGCTTGTGAATCTGGCAGAACAATTTAAAATATATATTTGCCTAAAACGCTTCCTTTTATATGAATTAGTTTTAACAATCCGTTGCATTAGGATTTGAGGCATTGAGACATTTAGGTTTTGAGGCATTTATCAAGGTAAATATGTTTAAAAATAAAGTAAGTCGTACGCATTTCACTTTTTTATTATTATTTAACATTTATTCTACTTAAAACATTCTATGTTTAATAATACTGAAAGCGTCGTTTATATTTCAAATATCGTAAACTACATCTTGTCTCATCCTTACACTACATCACTATAAAATCAAAACGGCTAATTGAATATTGTATATACATCTCTCTCATTTCTACAAATATAAATATCCATATGTGTGATAGAGAGAACTTTATCGCAGTGATAAAATTCAATAGAGTGACTAGATTGCAATAAATACATTTACATTAAATATTTACAATGCTATTACTAGAAATATTTACAATAAAAAAGTTGATACATATGTATTATTCGTAAATGCTAATTCTTGAGATCTATGTAAAGTTTCACAGATAAGTAAAAAATATGCTACCGGTTTCATTTTTTTTTCCTACGAATTAAATATTTGGTGTAATTTTATCGTCTTAAGCACATTTTTTTTAATATAAATTCTTTTTTGTTGCAAGCACACTAAGTTCGTTTTACGGACTTCAATAAATGCCAAAGTCAAAAATGGCGGGAACGTAGTTCGTGTGTCAGCCAAGCATCCCGCCTGACATGTTGCCGTGTACACGCATATGTCTATTCAGATTGCCGGATTGAGAAAACCTGTTGGAAAATATAAATAAGTTAAATAATTATTAAAAATACGAATTATTAAAAAATATTGAAGTATCTAACTAATTATGAGATTATATAGTGTAAAATATAACGGGTTTAGTGAATTTTAAATGACATAAAAATATATCAAATTATATATAATTTTAAATACTTGTTATATGCACAATATTTTTACTATTATATCTTTTCTTTACCTTAATAGGCATAGTTTGCACTGATATGGTTTTTCACCAGAATGTATGCGCAGATGCTTTGTCAACGTTGAACTGTCAGAAAATGCCTTTTTGCAGGATCGACATCTGTAAAATAAAAATTGTATGAATTCCCCAACGTAACATTAATTTAGGATTTGAGATTATTAATTTGTTATTGAAAAATATATCATTGACAATAAATTGTAATGTGTGGAGATAAGGAATAACGTTATATCATAATAATATTCGATTGTTTTCTTTCGTACATTTTTTTTTAAATTTGTTAATGGTTTTTGAACTATCAAATAAATGCTGTTATTATAAATATAGTTAGGAACTCCTTGGACAAGAAACAAAATAGGAGCAGTGCGCAAAAGAAACATTGACACTTTCTGGTGGTCCGTCGTCGAGGCGACATCGCTCAAGGGTTTTGACTATTAATATTGTGTTAGCAATTAGTCTAAGGCTATTTTAAGGATATTACTGTGTACGTACTTTAATTGTTGTTTAACTGGAGTTAGCATTTCATCATTTTATTCCTTTATTTACCTTTTATATTTGTTCATTTTAATTAATATCGCATAGTCAAATTGTCAAATGTCATACTGTTATTTTATTTTTAAAAATTCGAACGAAGTTCCTTAATATATTATAATATTTATTATGCTGGTACCCACTGGTAAGGCCTTTCTCCGGAATGTGTTCTCATGTGTGTAGTAACACTGGAACTCTGGCTGAATCGTCGGTCACAAATTGGACATCTGGAAATATAGAATAATTTTTAATAATAGTTCGTACTAAAATTTTTTATTTAGTAAGCTGAATATGTTAGACCAAACAAGTAGACGTCAAAAGAGTTTCACTGCTTCATAAAAAAAAGTATACATTTTACTGTCAAATCATAATGGCGGGAATTATGTCGCTTCACATAAATATTAACAAGATTCATATATCAAGCAACACAAATTAATATATCAACGTCAATAACAAAGAAATACAATATTAATAAAAATCTAAAACCCCTCTGATAGCTGACCGTATATATATAATAAGCTCTAAATATACAAATACATTAACTCTGCTAAATACGATTGCTGTTTTTATTGGTTATACATTGTAATAGTTTTTATATATTATCATACCTGAATGGTTTCTGGCCAGTGTGAGTTCGTACGTGGGCTGTTAAGTTGGCAGCTTGTGAGAAGCTTTTATTACAGTCGCCACATCTGTACGGTCGTTCGCCGGAGTGGGTTCTGAGGTGTGTTTTTAGCGTGCTCGGTCTGGCGTACGTCTTGCCACATATACGACACAGGTTGGGCTTCTGTTCATCGTCTTCGGAACACGCGCTTAGAGCACCCACCTGAATGAAGATTATGATGAAGATTTTGTTGAGTGAAAACTCCTTGGTAGTTGGTATAAATAAATGATACTGGCATATAAGGATTTTTGTTTTTTTTTTTTTTTAGAGTGGTCACTAAATATTCTTAATTAACGAGTAAGAATACGAAAATGGCACATTATATTAACGAGTTACTTTGGAAATTTTAAACAATTTGGTACTTTAATAGTTTTGAAGACACTGTTTATTTAAGATACGCAAAAAATGGCGTTATAAAACATTTTAAAAATCAATAAATTTAACTACGTTATTGATATAAGACATGAAATGTAAGAAATTAAAACTGTGTTTATGTCAACTTACTTGCACTTTTCCCGAAGAATTAACGCACGTGGTATAACCGAAGTCCTGATGCAGTTGTCCCTGATGGTTCAGTACGTAACCGTTCCCCATTTGTTCCTTCGGACTCTCCTGCATATATATCTTGGATGGAGATCGTTTCAGTACAGTCCCTAAATTCTTTTGGTTGGAAAAGTTTGGTTTTTGTTGGAATAAATAGTTGGGATTAGGTTTCTGGGTGTTTTGTAGTTGTAATGGTTTGAATGTTGAGCTCGCGGTGATGAGAGGATCTGATTGGTTCGGTGCTCTGAAGTCAGCTGTGAAGGAGTAAGTCGCTGAAGGATAGGATACTGGTATGACGCTTTGTGTTTGAGGGTAGACTACGTTTACTGATGGGGCAGAAGCGTTTTGATTCCATTGCACCTGTTGAAGATCAATCAACTCATTATTTAAGTAGGAATAAAATCTTAAGGTACTATTACTAATGCTCATTTTAAGCCCGAAAGCATTCTTCATTTGAGCACTTGCTACGTAGCTTGTGTCGAAATGTTGCTCAAAATTAGCATGATAATTGATTATGTTTAATTTTGTTAGATTATCCATGATTTTGGTGAACTGACAGAGAGCGAAAAAAGCACGCTATAAAATGGCATGTGTATTTGAAATGTTCACTTTGAGTATGCTTATTCAGACACATATTTTAACTAGCATGCCTATTTCTCGAAAATGTAAACGGCTTCTAGATTTATTTTTATTGAGCATAGCAATATAATAGCAATCTTTTCAGTATGCTAATTTAGATCAGGTATAACAGTAGCCTTATACCAAAAGACTTACAATTTAAAATCATTGAAATGAACCAATATATTATAAGTTCTGTCGTAATTATGTTTTCATTTATTTTAAAATACATAAACTAGTATATTAGCAGGTCCTAGCAGGAAAGCAAACCCTGGTTTAAGCTGGAAAATTGCTAGGAAGAAGATATATAATAGTGTATTATGAACATATAGTTAATTCCCATACCTGAGAACATAATTGATCTGAGGGACAGCCATGCATGGTCATGTTCATGGAGACATTGACACTCATGGTAGGGAAGAGGGGAGCAGTGCCGTAGTGCTCATAGTAGGGGTAACCACCACCGCTGTTCACCACCATCTGGGGAAAAGAGGATTATTTTAACATGTGACGTCATAATTATATAACTAGCTGCGCCCCGCGGTGTTGTCCGCGGATTTCCAGGATGTAAAGTAGCCTATATCTTATTCCTGGACGTCAGCTTCCTGTATACAAAATTATATCAAAATCGGTTCAGCCGTTTGAGCGTGATGAAGTAACAAACATACACACACTTACAAATTTTCGCAATTATAATATTAGTAGGATATACCTAGCTTATCAAGAGCGCTAGGAAATTAAGAAATCTTAGAGGGTAGATGACAAATAACAAGACTAACTGACAGACATTCAAAGTAATCGAAACGTCGGGATTATGTAGATATAGAATATTAAAAAACTTGTTGCACCGTCTGGAAATTTATTATTAGGGGTTTTATATATCTGGTCGAGATAAAATTGTTGAGGCTATTGGAATAATGTTTTATTAGTAGGGTAGCTATTTTTTTAAGCTATAAATGTTTTATCACTTGAATCTAAATTCAAATATAAAATAAAGTATGAAGAGTACATCAAAGCGAGTTGATTTAGAACCTAGGACCTCCAGAACACGTTCTAAATGATTAGATAAATTAAATATATATTTATACGGATATAAAGTAGCATGTTATTGTAATTGGTTACTGAAAATTATTATTTTTCAATAACATCTTACAGTTTACCCAGAAAAACGTGAAATGTAAAGTTACGAGATCTCCAAATTACTTGAAATACTACATATATTCTTTAAGCATGTAAAAGTGTAGCTAATCAATGTTGCAGACAAACCTATGAAACTATTTAGTCGTATATTTCATATTAATCCGTACTAATATTATAAACACGAAAGTAACTTTGTCTGTCTGTCTGTTTGTTACGCTTTCACGCCTAAACCACTAAACTGATTGTAATAAAATTTGGTACAGAGATAGAGTTGACCTTGAGAAAGAACATAGGATAGTTTTTATCCCACACTTTTGAAAGGTTCTCTTGGAAACGTTATATAATCGAACTCCACGCGGGCGAAGCCGCATGCGGAAAGCTAGTATACTTATAAATGAGATCCAAATCATATATGTAATTTAAAAGAAATTCTTCATTAGAAATGAAAATAAAGAGTCATTAGGGTCTTATAACAAATACTGAGTGGTCGTAACTTATGTTGTAACTTATGTTACGACCACTCAGTATTTGTTATCAATAAAAATTATTTAAGAAAGCTTTTAGATTTGACATTGGTGGAACATATTAAGTGGGGAAATACTATTTACATCTTTCATAAGTTAAAATATAGGTACTATTTGTACAACAACATCATTTTTTACACATATGTACAGAGTACACCTCAGGTATTAATAGTATTGAAGGATTTATTTAAATTTATATAATCTATGTAAACGTTAACAGTAGGTACACTTCACATAATATTACGCGGTAAAAACTGAACATAAATTTTATAAGACTGATTAATTTCATAGTTAATTAAAAATAGTAATTTAAAGAAGAACGTAGATGCTCTTCCTATTTCATAAACCCTTTCGGTGTTAGATAAATTAAATTTTGATAAGCTTTGTACCTTGAAAAGGACTTCACGCTACTAACTTAAGCGACGGATTGTCGAATAAATGTTGCAAATAAAAAGGATATTTTGAACAATTTATTCATAATATTATAAAAGAATGATTAAAAGTTGGACTATTGATACAGAAAGCGAATTAATTTTACATACAGGCAAATAACAACTATACAGGGTGACTGGTGAATTACTATTGATATTTGAGGACGTGATATTTGACGATCATATATGCCGAAATAAAAATTAATATAACATAAATATTAATAAACTTCTAAGTGAAGTTAACCAAAAGTTATGTAATTAATTATGCATCGTGTGAACACCCTACAGATTAGGTATACACACACACTCACACATACGCATGTCGTGACGTGGTGTTGTATCAACACGTCGCCGCACGCGTCCACACTTGAACACTTGGAACGTGTCAACACTTTACTTATTTATACGGAAATTTTGTTAAAAATTAAGTGCCTATTTTTTTTACATAATTCGAATGAGAATCATGTACCGAGTATGCTCCTTAAATATTGATAGTAATTCACCAGTCACCCTGTATATTATGTAACAAACTAAACATAAAGTTTGTAGTGATACATTAACATATCTATACTAATATTATAAAGCTGAAGAGTTTGTTTGTTTGTTTGAAAGCGCTAATCTCCGAAACTACTGGTCTCCGAAACTACTGGTTATAAAAAAAACATAGGTTTTATCCTGAAAATTCTACGGGAACTCGATCATTCTGAAAACTCCACAAGAACGGGAACTATGTGGGAAGAATCTGCCGGAAGTCACTATTCCACGCAGACGAGGTCCCGGCAAAAGCTAGTATTTATATATAACAGAAAGTCGTGTAAGTTACACTATTCATAACTCAAGAACGGCTGTAGGAATATGGTTGAAAATTGGCGGGGAGATAGCTTAGAACTAGGAAAATTACATAGTATACTTTCATCTGATCGAAAAAGAAAAAAAAAAGTTGATAAAAACCAAAATCTTATTATTTACGACCTTTGAGGAGAAATAGAGTTCGCCCGGTCAGATATAGGCAGGTAGGTACATATCTAATTCTGAAACTAACGTAGACGAAGTCGCGGGCAAAAACTAGTTGTTGAAATAATTATAAGCTCAGATCGAGTCATAGTCGACTAAATAGAAACATATAAGTTACAATTAACTAATTGGAGTTAAATATTCCAACATATAAAAATTTTCGTTACATATATTTCTTTTATTTAAAATGTCGTTTTTAATTAATATTTGATTTAACTAAATAAATATAAACCAAAATTTATTACGTGCTTAATTTTGCCTATAAACCTTTTTTTAATTATTATTAATCTACCAATCGAAATTAAAGCCAATCATTTTCGAAGTCCGTATCAAAAGACAATTGTAAAAACATCTCAATCTAAACCTTACTTCATTCACAATAAGAACCATGATATCCCTCGTACATCTAAGTATTCCTATACAATTTTACTAATCCCTTACAATAATTACAGCATAACCGCCCTAACTCGCCCCTCTATTAAGGAGTAGTGTACTTATAATCCATCTCTGTTCCTCGTATTGTGTTATATGTATGTGTGAAAGGGATACCTGAGGATGTACGGCGTCCCCTGCGCAGTCTCCATGAACCACCGCGTGTTTCAGTGAGAGCAGCACATCCGCCGCCTCCCCTCCCCCCCTCTCCCGACATTCCCCCCCGTTGTTCCGGCTGTAAGAAACGAAATTATTAGTAGGTACATATACGGAAGCCATTTTTGATTCTCGTGTCTAACAATGAGATCTGAGTTACGGATTAGTACTGGCTAAAGGGAATCATATATTTGATACTTCTAGCTCTGATTGTTCAAAAATCCAGTCATTGGATGCAGATAAATGTTAATTAAATCGTAATATCTTAATGGGGTATTTTTATATTTATATTTCTTGCCTCCATAAAGCTTTATAAGTTGTTCGATCAAACACACCATTTGAAATTTGGTGATTAATATCGGAATATCGTAAATATATCTATTAATTTCAAATAACACTTATCCTAGTCACTTTATATGTATAAATGTACCTACTTACATAAATATTTTTGTATGCAATGTTATTTTAAACTAATTATGTGTGTATTTACCACCCTGTCGAAGCCTGCTGAAAGGATATACCTATCTATTTCATTGTCACTATAAAATTTTCTTTAACTCATTAGTCAATGCTTATATACATGGAAATAGTAATGTTACACTAAAAGTCTCTTAACCTCTTTTATTAAATTTAACTTTAATTTTAACCTCTGAATATAGTTTAGTTCCCCTTAACCGAAAATTTTGAACATCACCTTAAATATAGGTATATAGACTATAGTAATGCTATTCTTATTATCATTTAATAATATTTCAAATCAATTACATACTTTAATTATTTTAAAAAATTATTAAATATTTTAACGGAAAAGGATTTATTTTTTTTCGGAAGGTTTTGAGAAAGGAATATCATTTTAAATTTAGTTACTTTATGTAACTATCGCCGTTTATAAAGATTAGGAAAACTATAGGTATAAAAAAAGTTTTGAATGAATAATGACGAAAAATAACTGCTTATTTATAGCTTTTCAAAGTAAGTGAATCTTATTTTTAATGTCTATTGTATTTTGTAAAATATACCGCCTTACTTCAACACTTATTGTATGATTAATAATAATTATTTAAAAACCTGTCATTTTACAACATTAATGATAACAAAACTATATACATATGTACTTTGAAAGCAATCTAAATCAAAATGAATGAGAACATCGTTAAGTAACTATTGATATATTTTTGGTCACATACAACACTATTTAGTCGAACCACTACTACTTATTACAATACCAAATCAGAAAAGTTTACTGTATTTTTTATCACTGTGGCTGAGATATACTAATGGATAAACTAGAATGTAACTCACTTGTATCCGGAGCAGGGTGAGAATGGAAACAACGATGGTAGGGGATCCAGGTCGAGGGGTGGCAGGGAGAAGGAGCCCATGTCTTCTGCCGGCCAGCCAGGCTCGTTCACATCGAGCCCGACATCGCAGGTCGTTATGGACTCCCCTAGATTGTTCAATTCCTCGCCATTCTCCGGACAGCAGTTCTCGGATTCTTGCTGCGAAGTAATTTTATCATATTAATGATGTTAAATTATAGAATGTATTTTTAATCACACTATGGTACTAAGATCTTAGAATACTGAGCGTAAGTAGTGTACATTCAGAGCGGTATGCGAGAATATTAAGAAATCTTTGGCGGTAGATGATAAATAATAAGACTAACTGACAGATATTTTCATTTCGTCTGAACTTAATCACGTTTGATGAAAAGGAATCGAAACGTCGGGAATATGTAGATATAAAATAATAAGAAACACGTAGTATACGGAAAAATAGTTATGTCCCATAAATATGTTTTTAGTTTTAAAACAATATAAATTTTATACTTGAGTTAAATAGCTAATATAATATAGAACGGAAAACGGATCGACTATACATATATATATATATATATATATATATATATATATATATATATATATATATATATCTACCCAGCCGTATTCGGCTATAGTGACTTAGCTTTGTTTTTTTTTTTTTATTATTATTATTATTATTATTATTTTTTTACGAGCTGCGATGCGACCTCACATGGCTAAGGTACCCAATCTTAGCACTAAACGTGCGACCACAAGTGTCACAAGTCAGTGTACCATTTACATAATTGTATGTTATATTAGCAGGTGGACGTGCTTTTATTCGGATCGACTATACATATAGTATATTAATTAATGTGCGAATACTGATCGTTTATGTTTGATGTGTAATAAATAATAGATAATTTGTTATTCAAGACTTTTGTAGTTCTAAATAAAATAAATACACAAGGTTTTTTAAGAACCAAGACGCCTAATTCTAAGCAGCGATGGTTTTTGTACTCCCATGGAGGTCACAAATATACAAACTAGCAGTTAAGTGTGCATCTTTAACGTGATTCCCTACAAATCTACAAACTAATGGAACAGACAAGTAGGGAAATTCTGCAAGGATTTAGAATGAACCAATACTCGCTTGGTATTTGGGAATTATTTTTGAATGTAGTATGTATTGCCTTCTTTCAGTTCTGAAGCAATGAAGATCAGAAGTCACAAAGCGTTCTTTGACAACAAAAAGCCAGCTTTTCGGGCTTATAAAAAGCTAATATCCAGAACTTATGAGGATGGTAAGGACATACTTTGTCCTCAAAGAAGCTGCAGTGTTGCCACTTGACAAATTCGTTTTGGAAATTATATCATAGATACTTGTTCATTAGCTAGTTTTAACTATATATTTAGATACATGCAAGTATTTAATAATATTTTAAAAGTAATTGTTTTATTTCCTATCAATAAGTTAACTTCATTTAAGAATTTAGTTACATTTATGCAACCTGAACTTAAACTGATATTTCTTATCTAAATACAATTTTCTATATTTCTTAAAAACTCATGACGAATCTTTGTTTACATTAAATATCGATTACAGGTAATTGAATTTAAAATAAGAAACAAAATTAATACCGCAATCGCGGTTAAAACATTTCAATAAAGTTTTTCTTCTTGAACGCGTCGGTATTATGACGGGCTTTATATAAAAATCAATTATTACGTAAAATCTGTTTTTTGTAATATATTCTAAGGTATACCTATCTATGGAGGTTTTATTAAAATTTTTATTTATATGATGACTAGAAGACCTGGCGAACTTCGCATCGCCCTATAATCAAGAAATATCTATTACGTTTTTTATTTTTATTTTTGAAGTTTACCTGTAAGCCATAAATCTCCGTGTTTTGAAGTGCGACAGAATGATTGACACATTAGTTAGTTGTCAAATCTAATGTCAAAAAAAACGTTTGTATGGGAAATAGAAAAGGGCTGTTTTTATGGTTTTACCAGTAATGAAACAATTTTTTTCAGCTTTTATACCTTCCCTGAACCTCCACGAACATTTTAAGACTAAGATAAGATAAATCCGTTCAGCTGTTCTCGTGTTTTAGCGAGACTAAGGAACAGCAATCCATTTTTATATATATAGAAGATTACCACGTTCAAAATGACGTAATGCATATTTGACAATATATTAGGTGAAAATCTTTTATATACAGGGTGACTGGTGAATTACTATCAATATTTAAGGAGCATACTCGGTACATGATTCTCATTCGAATTATGTAAAAAAAATAGGCACTTAATTTTTGACCAAATTTCCGTATAAATAAATAAAGTGTGTACACGTTCCAAGTGTTCCAAGTGTGACGCGTGCGGCGGCGTGCTGATACAACACTACGCCGCCGCTGCGTCTGTGTGAGTGTATACCTAATCTGTAGGGTGTTCATACGATGCGTAATTAATTAAATAACTTTTGGTTAACTTTACTTAGAAGTTTATTAATATTTATGTTATATTAATTTTTATTTTGTCATATATGATCGTCAAATATCACGTCCTCAAATATCGATAGTAATTCACCAGTCACCCTGTATAACTCAAATTTATGTGTAAAATTAATTGCATACTCTATTTCAAAACATTAACCATAATAAATGAAAATTTATTGAATTATTATTATAAAAATAGGTGTATTTTAGATATTATTAGTGTTATAAAAGATTGATATACAGACGTGTTTGGAGAATGGTTTAAATAACTTAATAAATAACACAAATAAGGCCGTTTTACATATGTAATTGATTAATGAATAGCAAAAAAATAGTTAATTGTAGTATGAGACTTTATTCGTTATAAAATAAAATTATAATAAAATTATTGATAATAATATTTGTAGATACTTTAATAAAGATTAAGACGTGATATTTAAACAGTTTAACTTTAAAATGAGATGTAAGACTTTCGCAAGTATTTATTTAAACGAAACTAATATTTTTCGGATATACCTACTACGCGGTTTATTTTTGTGAAAAAACTACATACTCCCTACGTTTCCCGAGTTTAACTTTATTACAAAATAATGTTACCTGTACTTAGTAATCAGTTTAAATATAAATATTAATTGTGATTAATATATTTTTTAATCTATGACTCGTTTTTTAATTCTAGACTTCTTAAAAAAAAACTTCCTTGAGAATATTGAGATATATTCATAACTTAAATTTCAATTATGAAAATTTTAAGTTTTTTTATACAATCATATGGAACCTCCATAGTCCATATAGATTTAAAAGAAATTATCTGCTGTAAAGTGAAAATAAAAACTTCGAAGTAATACAAATTATTCTAACATATATAATTTTTCCATTAAAATAGACTTTAATCTAACTCAGAAGTATACTGAAGTTTTGCGTATTTAAACTTTCTTAATTTTGTAAGTTCCGAAGTTTATACCTACATTTCTTCCACTATATTTTATGTAAAAGAAAAATTTATATATTCTTGCAAATATTTCCTCATGAATATGGCTATAAACATAGAAGTTGTACTTAAACTTAGAAGTTGTACTGTTATATAGGTACTTTTGTAAAGAATGAGCAGAATGTAACCACAATTTAAAAACTTATATGTTTGCTTTGAAAAAGGATACGGTCAAGAAAGCTTTAAGATTTGAGGGCCATAATCGAATATTGTATGCCATCTGAGAAATACCTTCTATAACCACGGAAACTATTTTAATGCGAAACTAACTCACTCACACAAAAACATATTCTAAATGTATGCCAAAGATCATATAAAGCATTGGCATTATTACAATGATTACTGAATTGTACTAACTTAAACTAGTTACATGATACGATGTGATTTCCAAAAACAGGAGATTTTTATAAACGAATTGAAAAATATCGATAGTTTCCATGTTGTGGCAAAAACATAAGTCATAGCATGACATAAAAAGACGTTAATATAATTTAGTTACGTTATTTTATTCACAGATATCGTATAATTGTTATCAATATAGCAAAATACAAATATTGATGTGACGTTTTCTAACCATTATTAAATTCTAATATTGTTAAATAAGTATGTAGCTACTAAATGAAATTTCAGTACAAGAACAAATGAAGCAAAACCTTCGCTAAGAATATAAATCTCTGAGGCTGACTAGATATGTTTTATAATGTTTCACAATAATGTTTCACCACCAAAAAGTTCGTATATAATTACATCTGAGAGTTTTGCGAGTATTCATTTAAATTTAACTAATATTTTCAGATTACTGCTAATTTTTTATTATAAAACGACAGTACCCACACACACAAAACCGTGATAATCACGGATCATCACGGTTGCTGCAAAGTAACCGTAACGTCGGGAGTATGTAGTTTATAAAAAAGGCGTGATAATCCAAAGATATTACTTTCTTTTAAGTTCGTCTATCTCTTTTATAGATATGTTATTCTCTCCAAAGAGTTTGTATATGTTGTATGTAACCTTCACGACTAAGTCTGACCAGCAAAAAGTTCGTCTACCTCTTTTAAATTGATACGTCATTGTCTCTAAAGAGTTTGTATATGTTGTATCGTGTGTGTTATTTGACTGTGTCATTCTGTCCAAGGAGTTTGTATAAGTATTTTGTGTGTAACATTCACTAATAAGGTTCATCACCAAAAAGTTCGTCTAAATCTTTTTAATTGATACGTCATTCTCTCCAAAGAGTTTGTATATGTTTTATGCTGTGTCATTCTGTCCAAGGAGTTTGTATATGTGTAGTTTATTACCTGGCAGCAGTCCTCCGGCAGTCGTATCTGGCAGGCGCACTGCAGCGGGTCGCAGCACACGCAGCATCCGAGATACTGAGGGTTGTTGGGCACGTAGCAGTCCATGGCGCATGATCGGACTCACCTCCGGCGCTTCGACATAGCTGGCCACTCCTACCGACACACAAACACACATATATACATATATAACAAATATAGCTTGCATTTTCGTGTATTTCATATGATATAAAGTATTGTTTTATAAAATAATCTCATTTTAATTGATGCAACAGTATGTATGTATTACTTAATCAATAATAAATGTTTTACAAAAAAATTTCATTATATCTTTATTGATCTTAAAATCCATTAAGAATACGAGCGGAGTCAAATAAGAAGTAGTTATAATACGTTAATTTATGTGTAATTTTCATTAATTTCGATATTATTATATTATTTTTAATCTATGTACACAAAAATCGTTTGATCGTCTCCCCTTCAAGGGGTTGTACCGATATTTCTAGAAGCCACTCCCATTAAGTACATATATATATAGTATTCATGTTGAAATAATTTCTGTGATTCAATGAAGCAGAAAACTTGTTTAATATCAATTTTTCTTTTTACCTTCAACATACGAGAATATAGTTATCAATTATTATATATATATTAATTAGGTTTATTTTTTATACTATAAATTATAATAAAACTGAAATAATGTTTCTATTTCCTCTCGTGTAGGCGTGAACACAGCATCCCAAAGATCTATAGCTTTAGCTCCTCCTACTGTGAGTATTAGTGAGCATTTAACTTGGCTTTTTATCATAACTCAAATATTGTAGCGTATATTATGATTGTGACTTAACAGGAAGTTAATGTGTTCTGAAATTTAATGAATTGACGAAAGAAATTAGAAGAAAAATTTGTTAAAGTTTAAAGTAATTAAAATACCCAAAAAGGTTGGTTTTAAATGTGTGTGTGTGTATTTTTTTTTTTCGTTAAAATCATCAGAAAGTTAAATCCTTAAAATAAATATGTTTATAAATAAAAGATGTAAAAATAATTTTTAAATTGCTATGTAAGCTTTATACGAGTAATCCTTAATTATGGAAATATCTAATTTACTAAATCTAAATAACTACAGCAAATACAAAAAAAAATCCTTGTAAATTTCGTCTTCATAGTGGTTTTAAAAATGTTTTAATAATCCCTACTAATATTATAAATGCGAAAGTAACTCTGTCTGTCTGTCTGTCTGTCTGTCTGTCTGTCTGTCTGCTACGCTTTCACGCCTAAACCACTGAACTGATTTTAATGAAATTCGGTACAGAGATAGAGTTGACCTTGAGAAAGAACATAGGATAGTTTTTATCCCAGACTTTTGAAAGGTTCTCTTGGAAACGCGATATAACCGAACTCCACGCGGCGAAGCTGCGGGCGGAAAGCTAGTAACTAATATGGCGACATTATACGTAAAATGTTCTCACTAAGTCATAAAACGACTTGTTTCCAGAGCCGTAAGAACATTTCCAAACAAAACAAAGTCCTCACTGTAACTGTAAGGATATTTTCTGAGTGTTTTTATTAAGAAAATAACGTTTAAAAGACAATTAACATATATTTATCGCATTATAAAGTTAAATTAAATTAGTAAAGGCTTTGAGGACAAACGCTTCCCGTCGGATCAACTCCGGCGGATGTCCTGTCGGAAAACATGCGGTTTAAATTAACTAAAACCTCTTTAGTGGACACGTAACTTGATATGACAATAAGTTACTTAATAACCTATTTTTTTATTCATATCTAGCGAATTTTGTTCCCTAACTGACAGTATAAAAAAATGTTGACAGTTGTTTCCGAAATATTACCAGTTAACAAAATAGATGTTTTTTCACTTATACTTAGATAAAAATAGTTAGAAAATAATGCAATTCAGTACTATTTTAGAATAGAAAACTAAAAACTGCTATATGAATTTCATATAAATAAAAAAAATCATCCTTGGCTTTAACGAAAAAAAAAAGACATTTAAGAGAAAATCAATCAATAACTAGTGATATAACTTTATTTATTGTAATTCTGTCAGAAACAACACTTTTATTTTCCTTAGTATATTAATGTCGGAAACTCCAAATTATTTTGTAACCAAAAAAAGAAATTGTTCATTAGATGTGACTATTTCCAAAACGTTAGTCGCTTTGTGACAAATATGTATGTACATTTGTGAATAAATGGTTGATACTAGCATCAACTTTTTTTTCACGAATGAGGGCTACATTTAAAACAACCAACCAACCATTTATTTTGATTTTTTTATTGTTCTTCCGTTTTAGTATGTAATAAATAAACCTAATTCTTATTTAAAACATTAAAATTAATTGTTTTAGAGTATGTACCTACTCCAAATTATTTTGTCAGAAAAATTTAATATATACATCTAAATGAAAAAATACCTACGTATTGGAATTGAAAACAAGCTATAAAACTTATGATATGACGTCACAAATTTTAAAAAAGAAAAATATTAAAAGAAAAGAGGTTTTATTGAAGTATCACTAAATATTTATATTGTATACTAGAACCCTGTATTAGATTTAAGATTACATATATCATCTCCATTCATTACTAGACATTATGAATCTATTATTTATCGATACTTATTTGTTTTTTATATAATTAGAAAAAAAAAAAAATGAAATATCCACATTCCATATTTGAATTTTAATACACATTAGTAACGTCAAATTCTTTGTAATAATCTCTACTCATATTATCGTAAGACTGTTCATATTGGTCTATTTTTGCCCAAGAGCGTAAAGGAGGATTATGTTTTTTTCAAATTATTATTTCACAGTCATAGTTACAGTCTGTAATCCCCTCGGTGACCTGATTAATATCGCTTAAAACAGTAATCAGCTGATTGTTAACTAGATTATGTACCTCTGTGGCATATTCTTTAGTTTTTATACTCTGTGTCGTCAAAAATCGATATAGAGTATACAAATATTTGTATTTTTTTAATTGCAATTAAAATAATCTACAAAAAAGAACTTTACGATATGACTCGTTTTTGCTAAGAAGATACCAATAAGAAATTTAATATATTATTATATGCATGTATGTGTGAAAGATTGTAATTAATATTTATTTAGTCACGTTTAGCGTTTTTTAACAATATTGTTTATATACATTAGTAATAAACTATTTTTTTAATCCTCGAATGCGCAGTATCTTTGGGATAAAATCGTGTTAATAAAGTCAAAATATTGAATTTAAAAAAAAAAATAGGTTAGAAGGTAAAATTAGTATTATTCTACAGAGAGTTCAGCGTTATATTACATATTATTTCCAATATAATATTAGCAAGTGAAAAGTATTCGTATTAAATTTAAGGTTTTATTTAACTCACACGTAGTATTTTACGTACTATAAAGGTTGGATTTCTTGATACAAAAAAGGTTTGAAGAGTTTTGTTATTTTAGTTTAATTCCACAAATATATTTAGATATGTTTTGAATGTAATAATTATCCATCTTCTTAAAATATATAGTAACTATAATAGATTTTTTTTATTTATCTCAAATTTACACCGAATAATATTTAGTTTCACTTCACTAAATTAAAAAAATAATATTTTTTATTGAAACAAGAACAAGAAAAAGTATTAGTAATTTTGTATAGAATACTTTAATTCAGTTTTATTTTTAACTATGTTGCGATGATCAGCCAATGTCGTATTGATTATTTATTTACGTTATAATAATGTTCACCAATTCTAATATATATTAATACAAACAAAACACTAACCTTCCTTAAAAAACAATCCAATATAATCCGATAGTTATTAAATAACAATATAATAAAACACATCACAAAATCACTGTATCACAATACATTTGTGTCACTAATTAAATTAAACGTTCTATATGGCAACACTGGTGTATTTAATGCATTTTCGTCGAGCTCATACAGACTATTGTTGGTGACTGACTATCTGTTAACCCGCCCCCACGTTAATTGGCTGTTTGTATCCAACATTGGCTGTTTGTGTCGAACCCCGCCTGAAAAAAAAAAAAAAAAACATGACATATTGCGCGCGGGAACACAAGCTGTCATCAGTCAGCGTATCGTATAGCGGGAGCTTGCGGTGTCACCGTTTAAAGTGTTGTTTAGATAAGTAATTAATTGGAATAATTTATATTGCAAGCTTGATTTAAGGGTTGTGTTATGTTATTGCTTGTGAATATTATGTTTTTGATGTAAATGGAATGAATATTAAGTATGAGAATTTGTTTTATCGTATTTTAATTCGTAAGACATATGGTTGAAATAAATTACGACACTAGATTTAAATTCTTTAGTATAGTGATACACTGACACTAGAAAATATGGCTTTGTTTACGCAGTCAGGGAAGTGTGATGAAATTTTAAATAAGATAATTTGGAAAAACATTACATGTGATATTTACTCTACGTTTAATTCATTGATTTAAGGAATAATTTATTTCTGAAGATAAATCTATTAATCAACGTAACACATATGTAATAAATATTTTTATAAGAAATAAGTAATTGTTCTTTAGGTAGAAGCAAAACTTAGTAGGTTTTTGATCATTTCATCGTCTGATATGAAGATGGCAAAGTTATAGATGAAAAATAAGTTACATATGTACCGGTTATATATGAAACGCTATATATGTAGGATATAAAATGTTATTATACATATCTTTTAAAAATTAATTACACTTATACAAGAAAACATTCTAAACAGTCCATCATAAAATCCCTACTAATATTATAAATGCGAAAGTAACTCTGTCTGTCTGTCTGTAACGCTTTCACACCTAAACCACTCAACTGATTTTAATGAAATTTCGTACAGAGATAGAGTTGACATTGAGAAAGAACATAGGATAGTTTTCATCCCAGACTTTTGAAAGGTTCTCTTGGAAACGCTATATAACCGAACTCCACGCGGGCGAAGCTGCGGGCGGAAAGCTAGTAATGTATAATTACCTACATCTCGTAGTGCCAACAATTTTGTATTCTCCTCCAGAAGTACCTAATTGGTGTATTTTTGGTTCTAAATTATATTTTAACACGATGTTCCTTTCTACAGCAAAATG